GTTTATGATTCTCTCATTTAACCAAGATTCATAGAGTGCCAACAGTGTGCCAGGTTCTGGGGAAGGGAAACAGGTAGGCTCTGTTCCACCATTAATTAAGTGCTGGTCCTAATTGAAGAGATGGGCAATACATTTTATATTGATGTGGTAAGTGTAAAGTCCGGGAGCCCTGAGACAGGGACATTTCATATCCTGAGAGGTGCCTGAGGATGGTGTCCAGAAAGGATGTACAGTGGAGGTGATGTTTGAATTGAGCTCTGAAGGATGAGCAGTCAAATTGAGCGTGTGGCATGTCAGCCATCCCACCGCCCACTCCACATCTCACTCTTTGGGGAACATTGTGCCTGTAGCTTTTCTTATGGGTCAATACAAGGAATGTCCATTTATGAAATAGCTGCATTTTCTGTGTCCCTGTATTGGCATAGACCCATGCAGCAGACTCTCTTAGACCCAGAAGTTTGCCTCTTCTAATGATCCAGCATGCTTACTTTTATTAGAACTTTTCAACCCTGTTGTACTTCCCACTTGGCCGCCAGGAGTCCTAGGACTAACATTTGAGCTTAAATCAGAACAGTTTTCGTTAGTCAGAGTTTTTCTTGTAAACCCTCTTACTCCTTCTTTCGATTCCCCAAACTCCTTTAGAAATTTTGCCTTGCTTTTTTTATTGTTGCTTAAATGGGTTACGATTTTACTGTTATAGCACATGCTCTTAGATCCATTCCGGAAGTAGGCAAAACGTAACGTACTGTGGAAATGGAAGGTCAAGCACAATTTTAAGAGTTAAGCCTGTCTCTCAACCTGTTGCTGAGTATCTGTCTTTGAGAAGGATATCCTGCTTCCCTGTCCTAGTCTCTCTGCAGGAAGGATCAAGGCTGATTCTGATCCTGTCAAGCTTCTTTGGGGAGTGAAAATAAAAACAGTACAAGGTTTAAAGCTCTGGGAGGGGAGAGCGGTTTTGGTAGATGAAAATAGGCTAACAGTAGAACTGGGGAGGAGCCAGAGCTAGTTTCTGTGAGAAATTAAATAACTGAATTAATAGAGACTAGTTATAGAAGTGGAAATCACCTAAGTTTCAGTTCATTCCATAAACAGCAAAGTTTAACTGCAGTATTCTCTTTTCTTCATGCACTCCATTTCTGATTTGGAGCATATTAGTTCTAAAACTGGCCTTTGAAATGCTAATTAACTGGCTGTATAATTATGCTCCATTATTCTTTTATCTTTGGAGAACGGGAGCTAAGGAGCAGCTAAAGCCCTGAAATATAACCTCAGGGCCCAGGGGAGGGTCTCTAGCCTATGACTTGAACTTATCAGTATTCTAAATGGTGTAGTTTAGACTCTAAACTGCAGAGCAGTGCTTCTCCAATTGAAATGTGCACACAGATCACCTGAGGATCTTGTTAAAATGCAGATTCTGATTCAGCAGGTCCTGGGGCAAGGCCCAAGAGTCTGCATTTCTCACAGGCTCTCAGGTGAGGCTGCTGCCGTTGGGCCTTTGTGTAGCAAGCGTTTAGAAGAAAGAGCTTAAAAGTGGGAGGTCTTCCAAAGTTAACTCTGCCTTTTCTTTTGCTTGAATTCATGGTTACTTTGATAGCAGAAGCCTTGAAGCCAAGGCCTTGGCTTAGAGAAAGAAAACTGCGAGAAACACTTCTGCCATGTGCCAAATACTTCCCCCTACTTTGGGGGTCCCAGAGAAACTGCATTGTAACAGTAGGATAACTGATATTCATGAAAATGACGTGGAATTTTGTTCAGTGAGCTGTCTAGAAGGGAAGCAGGGAAGTATTCATTTAAGTTTCAGTATATTTTCGTGAATGATTAGAACTAGTTAGGCTTACATGGATATGTTCAACAATCTGAAAAGATCACTTACGATGAAATCTTCATTTCTGAAAGATAAACACTTTTCTCTAGTACTTTGCTAGTAGGCTTTCTAAGGTGCAGTCTGCTGCTTGATATCTTGTCTAGACCAGCAGCATTCTAAGTTGCTCTTCCAGTGAGGAGTATAAATGGAATCTGCTCTGTTGGCGTTGAATCCTGTTTCCATCACTTACTGGTATTGAGACCATGAGCAAGTTCTCAATTTCTCTGATTTTGCCACTTGTAAAACAGTCATAATACCATTTCATCCCAGGATTTTTTTAGAAGAGAATTTATGCCAAAGCTCTTGGAATAGTTACTGTCCCTTCACCGGTATTCCTCTTCCCCTGCTTGGCCCCTGGTTGGCAGCTTGCTGTGCTATTTGGACATTTGTGATTTTTCTTCTTGGTTACCTCTCACCTGAACCTCTTCATTGGCTTCTATTGGTAAGAGCTGTTGTGAGGTATGGAGACCTTCGCAAACTCTTGCAAAACCATGGAGCTCACACATTTATGAGATGGGAGCAGATATCTTGACTTCTCAGAATAGACCAGAAGAGTTTAGTTGAACCTTTTTCACAAGGTTTTGTTTCACAAAAACAATGGGGCTCCTGTTAATAGATTGTTTACATACACATTTTATGTCAAGCACACCCACGTTTATTTGTCTAGTGTGGGAATAATAGTGATCAGTGATTTGCCCTGGGTCTCTTCCCTAACAAATGATCCTAATTTCAGACTCCTCTGTGCTGTGCAGGCTTCCCCACATGAGGTGGTGATAAGATCCATTCTGAGTCCTCCTAGGTTAGTAAGGGTGTGGCAGGAGTTCAGTTTCCTTTGTCCTGTATAACTTTTGACTGCAATGGCTTTGGTCTGGAGAGTGTGGTCTGTCCTTGGAGAGATCATGCACACTCAATATAATACTTGGCTTTCCTTCACTCTTCCCTCCCACCTCTGCCTGCCTGCCTCTAACTACTTGGATTCTTATCTTTAAATGCAGAAACTTGGAAATGAGTTGCTCTGTGCTTGTTCCTCTGCCCTTCCCATCCCTGAGCTCTTGTTTATTGGCTGCTTGCATATCATATCCTGCTGTTCTCTGCCAGATGTTCCCAAAACAATCTTTAAGCCTACTGATCCATTACTCAGCTTTGACTTCTCAGAAATAAGACTGCTTGGTCTTCTCGTGGGTCTAAAAGTAGTGTTTCCTAATCAGGTCGTAAACCCTTATGACCTTATTCTGTAAAAGCTCTGTAAATAACTTTTATTAGCCTAATAGATATATAAGTAATATATGTATTGCTAATAATATTACATACATGTAAAATATTACTTTTAACCTTTTAGTCCCTGTAGCTGAAACTGTATCTAACCAGTGACCCTGATTTAGGAAATCTTGTTTCAAAGTTGCTTCTAACTTGCTATATGACTTGAGGCAAATAATTTAACCATACTCACTGGGTCTAAATTTACTTTAACCTGTAAAATTAGGATTGGATTAGATCAGAAGTTTTTCAAACCATTCTGTGGAGTTGGTTGAGGTGGAGATGGGCGTGAAAAGAAAGTTCAATGGGTAGGACCCCAGGGCTCCTCATTCAATTAAATGATTCTTTTTTTGTTTTTTCTTCTTTCTGATTCTTTTTTGGTGGTGTTGAGGTCACAATAGTTTGTAACATTGTGAAATTTCAATTGTACATTCTTATTTGTCAGTCACCATATAAATGCGCCCCTCACCCCTTTTGCCCACCCTCCAACCCCCTTCTCCTCTGGTAACCACTAAACTATTCTCTTTGTGTATTAGTTCACATTCCACGTACAAGTGAAATCATACGGTATTTGTCTGTCTTATTTTGCTTAACATAATACCCTCAAGGTACATCCATGTTGTTGCAAATTGGATGATTTTCTTTTTTATGGCTTAGTATTCCATTGTATATATCCACTCATCAGTCAGTGGGCACTTGGGTTGCTTCCACATCTTGGATATAGTGAATAATGTTGCCCTGAACATAGGGCATAAATCTCTTTGAATTGTTCATTTCAGGTTCTTTGGATAAACACCCAATAGTGGAATAGCTGAGTCGTATAGTATTTCTAATTTTTTAAGAAACCAACATACTGTTTTCCATAGTGGCTGCACCAGTTTGCATTCCCACCAGCAGTGTATGAAGGTTCCCTTTTCTCCACATCCTCTCCAACCTTTTTTTTTTTGTTTGTCTTAGTGATTGTAGTCATTCTAACGGGTGTGAGGTGAAATCTTAGTGTAGTTTTGGTTTGCATTTCCCTGAAGATTAGTGATGTTGAACATCTTTTCATATGCCAATTGGCCATCTGTATATCTTCTTTGGAAAAATGTTCATATCCTCTGCCCGTTTTTTGATCCTGGTTTTGTTTTTTTGTTGTTCAGTTGTGTAAGTTCTTTATAGATTTTGGAGATTAACCCCTTGTCGGATATATGATTTGCAAATATTTTCTCCTAGATGGTGGGTTGTCTTCATTTTGTGGATAGTTGCCTTTACCTTGCAGAAGCAAATGACTGTTCTTTTGTTCATATATTGAAGCCTTTTGCTATTAAAGAAGTTTGAAAACCACTGGACTAGATGGTCTGAGATGCCCTCCAGCTTAGCACTGTATGAGGCTTCCCAGCAGTAGCATCTACTTCTAGATTACATTAGACAAGGACATCTAAGCTGTATCACAGATAGGTCCCAACTCATGATTGCACTTGACATCATCTATAGTCTGGTTCATTATGCTTTTTACTGAGGCTCTGGACTGGCCATCCCAGTGCTCCTGTCCCTTTGCTTCTGCTCATACTGTTCCCAGCAGCACGTGGATTATTTGTAAGCCTCCCTTCTCCATTCAGTCCTTTCCATCTTGTGTAAAATGTCTAGTCTAGTGTAAAAATGTCCTGTCCCTTCAAGAAACTTTCTCCACCTAGCTGTCCCTGTCTTCCCAAGGTACTTTTCCACTCCAGTGGCTCAGTACACTTTGCCTTGTCAGGCAGTTGTATGTATGTGTAAAGCTCAGAAAGGGGCAGGATCTTAGTTTCTTCATTCTAAATCACCCCAATGCCTAGCATTGTTACCTTTCTGAAAGGGCCACGAATCCATCATATGGCTCAAAAACTCTTCTCTCTTTCAGGATCGAATCATCAATTTGGTCGTTGGCAGCTTAACATCCTTATTGATTCTAGTAAGTATCTTTATCTTGTGTCTCACCCAGGCTCTTAATGAAAGTTTTGAAAACTTAAAGTATTGTGGTTCAATTAACTCTTCAAAATTACACATAAAAGGGGCCAGTACATGAGCATGTGAAGTATTCCAGTCATAGTTAAATCTATTTTATTACCACTTATACTACACTTAGTAATTGGAGTAGCTAAATTGATTTGCACTCTTGCCCCTTAGTTGAATAATGTAGTAGCATAAGTCAAATGACTTGGTTTTCTGAGTTTGCCATGTTTGTTTGCCTAGTAAATTTGTGACATGTTAAGTGGCAACCAGCAACTCCCTTCTGTACATAACCCACTGCCCCCCATTTTGGCTAATACCTTGTTTATTGTTCCTAAAGCACATTCATTTATCTTCTGGTTTAAAAAGTTTATTTGGTCAGCATATAGTAATTTTTCATCCTGTATAATAAGGCTTAGTTGCTATCACAGTAAAATAAAAACAAAGCTATGTTTCCCATAGTCTGAGAGTGACATTTTCATTAAATCTAAGAGAATTTTAGTGAAGTTTGTTTCTGTGACTTCTTAATAAAAAGAATGGGTATAATGCTATATCCATGGTAGAAACAGAACTGTAGGGTATTAGAAACCTGTCTTTCAGTATTTTTCGTAATGTCAAACAGAAACAATTTTGGTTATCTTTTTTTTTTTGAGGAAGATTAGCCCTGAGCTAACTGCTGCCTATCCTCCTCTTTTTGCTGAGGAAGACTGGCCCTGAGCTAACATCCGTGCCCATCTTCCTCTACTTTATATGTGGGACGCCTACCACAGCATGGCTTGCCAAGCGGTGCCATGTCCGCACCCAGGATCTGAACTGGTGAATGCCGCGCTGCCGAAACAGAACATGTGCATTTAACTGCTGTGCCAACGGGCCGGCCCCATTGGTTATCTTTTTTATTGGAGTATTCAAGATAACAAAAAGGTTAAAACTTTCCCCAGTATAATCATTAATCCTGGGAATGAGGTTTTAAATGCTTTCTAATCTTTGTTAACAAAGAGGTTATTTTGAGGTTAGCTAGTTTTCCTCCAAAGGTTGCTCTGTGATGTTTTGTCTCCTATCATAAAGGAGGAAAAGGTTAGGAGGAGGAAGTGCTAAAAGAAATAACACAATTGAACATATTTACAATATTTTATTTAACATTAACATTCCAGAAGGCAAACCTGGTACATTTCATTTTACACTGTGAGGCATTTTATAATATTAAATTGCCTAGACTCCAGTCTAACCAAGTCTTGGAATTACTCCTAAGGCCTGACGTAATTTCTCTTCATACAGGTAACACTGATCAGTGCTTTTGTTTTCCCTCAACTACCTCCGAAACCGTTGAATATATTTTTTGCTGTCTGCATCTCTTTGATTAGTATTACCGCCTGCATACTTGTGAGTACCTTCAGAATTTCAATTGAGTATCCCTGAGGGCTGAAGGCGGCTGCAGTGCCTAGGACAGATTCCTAGTCCAGGTCTATACGAAAGGGTATCTCTAATTACACTTTGCGTCCCCCGAAAGGATGTCAGAATTTTCAACGTTAATTGTAGGTTTTTTAAAAAAAAAGTCTGAGTTTCCATCTTTTCTCCTAAATCCCAAAGTTGTACCCCTAAAGGGAAACTGTTCCCTTGAGAGCTTAAAAAAAAAAAAAAAGAAAATGGAAGAAAAAAATAGTTAAAAGACTTAGGTAGCCAAAGATTTGATGTAACTTAATTAATTCATCTTCCTTCAAGGACTACACACAGGGCCCAACAGGCTTTGGGAAATGACATTACTGCTCTTAGGGAAGAGATACAGCACTCTGGATTTATTTCTGATAATTATAAAATTAGTCTATTTAAATCTCTGTGCTTATCTCCTCAAATGAAAGTAAGTAACACCAAAATCTCCTGGGAAACCTAAAGCTCCAGTTGTATCCTTGTCACAAGAATGTTCAATTTTACTACAAAGCCTTTCTTTAGGGTAAAGAAACAAAGTTTAGATCTTCAGTTGGGTATTTGCCAAGTGTTCAGTCACTCATCATTAGCTGATTGTTGTCTCATTTCCCTTGAGAGGCAGCATCAAAATAGTACACCCTTAAAAGCAATTGTTTTGACTCACATATGGCTTAAATCATAATAGTAATGTGCTTATCTGAGTTAAAATTAAACCAGAGGACCTCTCCAAGCGCCTGACTCACTGATTCTGCTAGACTCCTGGGACCTGAGGGAAGAAATGGCCCATCCCACTTTGGGAGCCTTTGGAATAAAGCTACCAGAGATGCTCTCCTCCTACTCCCAACCCAAAGCCAGAAGTGACTAATGACGACCTAGTTTAAACCAAATCTATGCATGTGCAAGCTCTATTTTGTATGGGCGGTCTGAATCAGTTATATGAATTTAAAAGTTGTTCCCCCTTCTAGTACCTAAAAGAGTTGTACCTTTTACGCAAATATATTTAAACTGCATCTAGAAGGTATATACTCTTGGATGGCTTGCCAAATGATTGGTGGACTCTATTGATTTAAACATAGAACAGAGTTAACTGAGAAAGCAGGAGTTAAGTATGATCCTGGCTGTAGAAACTTAGTTGGTACCACTTAAATTATAAAGAATAAGAATTAAATTCTGGCTGCGTTAGTCTTAAGAACGTAGATTAATATAAAGACTGTCTCACTTATGGGAAAAAGTATATACAGATGAAATTGGTCACCGTGGAAAAAATTAGTTGTATTTAAAATTTTTAATACTTGGCCCAGTGGCTATTACTTAACCTTTTATTTAATTCTTCTTCTTTTAGATCTACTGGTATCGACAAGGAGACTTAGAACCGAAATTCAGAAATCTAATTTACTATATCTTATTTTCTATCATCATGTTATGTATATGTGCAAACCTGTACTTCCATGATGTGGGAAAGTGAGGCTCCCAAGGAGAAGTACTTACCAGGTCTCTTCAAAGCTATTTATTAGGACTGTGAATAAGCGCTGGATAAGGTATGCGGAAGAATCTCCTGCATCTGGATGTCTGACACATGATTTTCATGTTAAATGTAAATCTAAATTCCCTCTTGCAGGGGAGACATATCATAGATCACTTTCCTTTTTCTTTAAGGAGCTGATGTTGCACTTACACATTCAACCCTTAAAGCTCAAACAGCACAAGTAATTTTCACTTTTGAAATTAAAATTTTTTATAATGTAATTGCATGGCGAAAGGCTATGTAACAATCTTGTATTTTAAGACAAATATTCTTTTATTTCTGTTAAACTGAATATACAATTATTGTTCCCTAGGCAACCAACTTTTGCTTACAACTACAATTTAAATTCACGTTAACAAAAGACAGATGGTGAAAAGACAACTTTGATTGTGAAGATCTAATTACAATAATAAATAAAATAATTTACACAAGGTTTTTTTTGTGACTTTTCTATAGGGGTCATATTCATTAAAGCCCCCATAGGCTAGTCGTGGCTTAACTTTCTCTAGTAGAGGAATGACTCGATTTGTTTCCTTTTGTCATAGAAGCAAATTTTGTTTTTTAAAATTGCCTGAGAGGGACAAGTTGTGATGCACCCCCACCAGCTAATATACACTAAGTGAACGGCAAACTCTGATACCCTCCTTCAACTGTTTCCTGGATAATTTATATAGCAAAACATATACAAGAAACAGTCATGGTGTAGGATAGGCAACCTTACTTCCCTTCCCATTTAGTTTAATTTTACTTCAAAGTGCTGACTTTGTAAACTGATGACAGTGGGTTCTGAGAGGGTGAAAACTCTGCTTAGCTTCTGGTGAGTTTTGTTACTACTCTCCATATTCCCTTTAAAAGTAATAAGAATAATAAAAAAACCTGTAGTGAATTTTCCTAACTCTTTTAATGCTTTCCTCTCTTTACCCAGCCTAAATCCGCTCCCACTGCCAGCAATGGGTAAACCAAAAACAAGCACCACACAGTCACCTCCTACCTAGGCCTCTGTACTTGTAGGCTGGTCAAGTCTCAAACTTAATCTTTTTGAAGGTCACTGGTAAGCTCTAGACCATGTTGATGTGACTTCTCTGAAATATAAAGAGGTCTGCTTGAGACTGGATAGAGAGCCTTGTCTGATCTTTAGAGATGAATATTACTGCTTTTAAAACAGAGTAGTTAAGCTTTGGTGATTTTAAACTTTTCTCAGTAGCTGAAGTGAATGACAGTCCCTGCTGACAAATAACACTAATCACAGGGATCTCTGTATGCAGTTAAGACCCCATACTGCACTCAGCTACACAGTGTCGTAAGACTAGACCTCAGCTGATGTATTTAAAGGAGGTAAAAAGTCATAGCAGCAATGCTGTTATGTGGCTTAAGCATTGTAGCTATTTAAAAGCCAGAGGAATTGGTAAATTAAGCCTCTTGGGAGTTGCTCCTATTTCTGTGGAGATGTTGTAATTAACAGTGTGGCTTCTTTGCTTGAACTAGCTGTTTCTAAGAATTACCTAATGACAGTTTACCATATCCTCAACATCCTTTGAGTCTTCTGAAACAGGACTGTCCAAAGATGATCCAATGATATTTGATTCTTCTCGATGATGTTGGAGTATGGGATCTGTAATGAGTTAAGTTTCAAGTTAGTCTTAAATGTATATGTTCTCTAGTCCATGTCAAGAATTTAGAGTAGGTATTCTCCCAAAGTGCAAAATTTAACGAGACTATTATCTTTATTATAGGATCAAGAAAAACTAGAATAACTGAATTAAAAGTCTGCCTGGTTTTCCCCTTAAAATTTATCAGGCACATGATGGAGTTGTATTACAGTACCTGTTAGTGTTGTCAAAGGCAAGACAGATTCAGTCTCTATCACATCAGATGCCTGGATAAAGCCATGTGGTGAAGGAACGATAAGTATCGTTTCATCATCAATTGTTGTTTGATCAACTCGTTCTTCTATGGTAGGAGATTCTAAATCCTAAATAATAATTAAAAAGAGAGATTCTAACTCATATTCCTCATTAGTTTTCCTTAAGATCACAAACATGTTAATATTTGAAAGTTAAATCCTTTCAAACCTAATCTCATTTTAAAATTAGACTATAAAGGGGCTGGCCCCATAGCATAGTGGTTGAGTTCAGCATGCTCCGCTTGGGTGGCCTGGGTTCATGAGTTCAGATCCCAGGCACGGACCTACACCACTCATCAGGTGTGCTGTGGCAGTGACCCACATAGAGGAAGACTGGCACAGATGTTAGAGCTAATCTTTCTCAAGCAAAAAAAAAAAGGAAGATTGGCAGCAGATGTTAGCTCAGGGCCAATCCTCCTCAGCTTTTAAAAGAAAAAAAAATATGAACGTTAAGGTCTTAAAATGGACAAAATAATAACCTCATACTCCAACGTACTAAATATTAACAAAAAAAGAACTTAAAAGTATCAATTCAGTTATAGGTCCCCTGAATATAGGAGAAACAACACTGTTATGCTATGGGGTGATGTTCCTAAGCTGAATCACAAAGATCTACTAACCACCCTCAGGAAAATGCTTCCATGGGTTCCAACAAACATTTTTGAATCTACTGGAAGTGAAGAGGGAAAGGTTTTAGTGAGAAACCAGGGTAAGACAGAGCAACACTGCTGGTTGACTGATACTTGTGAGGTCACAGGCAGGGGTTTGCACTTTGTCTGTCTAAAGAAAAGAGGAAGGTACTGGAGGATATCCCCCCATAAATTATTTCTAGGCTCTCTCCAAACTTCAGATTTGAGTTCAAGGCAAGAACTTCTTAGGCTGTTCCCTTAAGTGCAACTTACCTCAGTAACGTAAGCCCGGGCTAAATGAGAGGGTGATTCCTCCTCTTGTTTAAGGTTGGTGTCAGAGATTTCTTCCTCTGTTCTGACCATAACACTATTCATCAGTTCTGTGCTACTTTGGTCACTGAATTTGGATACGTGAGCATCATTAAATGATGGCTCTACAGTCATCTTAGGCTGATGAATTTCATCTGGGAAAGTGTCTGCTTCTAGGGCATCTGGAGGCTCAGGAAAATCAGATGAGTGAATATCATTATCTACAGCCAGTTCTGCTTGGGATATGGAAGAACTGATGTCCTCTGTGGCAACAGTTTGAATGATGACTCTTGGTGTGTGACACTGCACTGTGACGTTGTCACTTGTGTTCAACAAATGTTCCGGCTGTAAAGTGTTAAAGAAAATGATCAGTGGCAAAATGAAAAAGTACCTACCAGACTTAAGTTATAGGCAACAAATGACATTTATAAGTGGTATCCTAGTGACCCCCCTCCCACACTCTCACCTCTGGAACTACAGTGTGCTTATGACTATTTTTCTAGAACCCCTGTTCTTTACCAAATGAGGCTTTTGCTCTACTAATGTCCCTATTCCCCTTAATGTAAGTCCACCTCATGTAAGGAGACAGAAAGGATATACCCCAGTGAAGGCACAGTGATGGTATAAAATATTGCCCCTGGGACAACAGCAGTAGGAATTGTTTAAATAAATGTTCTCCATTAGTTTTGGTTAATATTTTGTATCAACTAATCCTGGTCCCTAACATGCACACAAATACTTGAACTGAGCTCAAAACTGATTTTTACCCCTAGAGATACTGTTATTGAAGACCCACAGGTTGTATTAAAAACTAGAAAAACATCCTGTTATTTCTGGTGACACTTATCATTTAGTCAGTCTTCTCTACGGGAACTAGAAAAATCAAGCAATTTATGTCAGGTGACGTACGGATAAAGCATGAACAATGATCTGTTCAGGAGAAGCAGGAGCAGCAGCTGTCAGGGTTACTGTGGGACTAGCAGTCAGAGTTAGGGGAAGGCCTTGGCTTGAGCTTGTTTGAAGTAGGTAGGTGCCTGGAGTGCCAGTGGGCTGTAAATGGAAAGACTAAAGAAAAAAGAAAACTAAGATCAGCACAGGTGCAACAGACTACTGACGATGCAGATTTACTAGTATCCATTAAGTCTAGCTTTACATCCAAAATGGGAACATTAATTTACTAGCCACAAATGTACTTACCAATTGTGAAGGTACAAACAAGTAATAAAATGAAGGGTATAATCTTGACTATTAATTGTTGTAAGTCATTACATGGCCTGGAGGTTTGACAGGCAAAGCCTTTATCTTGTTCTTCACTCCTGGATATTTCTGTGGTCTGGTCTTAGCTTTTTGTTTCATGGCACCAAGACACAGTCACGTAAGCCACTGTTTCCAGTGCAGTAACTCAGCACACCCAATCTTCCCTCTTTATTCTTTTTCTGTGGCATGTAAAAACTGGCAGTCTCCCAGTTTGGGAAAAAGCTTCAGATTTTTGAAAAGGCACTATAGCAGTGTTTACTTACTTGAACAGATATTTTTCATAATATGATTTTAGGAAATATTTTTTATATTAAGGAGAAATGTACAGAAATAGCAATTAGTGTTCTGCTAAAAGAAAAAGAAAATTCCTATGTGAAAAGCTGGTTAAATGATTTCATGATAATAAGCTTCTACATAATAATTTGTTTGGTTGATCCTAATGCCCTCAAGGAAAAGTATTTGCACTTAGAGCTGGAGGTTAGTCACATACGTAGCCTGTTCTTTAGTCCGACGTGGTCCTGTGGACTTCAGCCAGAGCAGCTCTCCTGGATACCCACTCACTGAATCTCGGTTTCCTTCTTGCTGAAGTGGGGATAATAACTACCTCTCATGGAGAGTTGTGAGGATCAGAAATGATTACTACGGGGCCTGGCACACAGTGGAAACTCAATTTCTTTCCTTCCTCTCCATAACAGTGAAAGCTGATCATTTTCCTAGGGGTTGTATTTATTAATCACATATGGTCAGGCAATATAGTAAATACTTTATATGTAGATATATGTATTTTATTTAATATACCTAAATACGTTTAATGCTCTTAGTTTTGAAGCTGAGGCACTATTATCATCCTCTTAGTAAATCAGAAATCTAAATATTTGATTGTGACCCCATAAATAAAAGCCTGAACACATACCCCAAATATATGTGTATGTATTGTTATTTGGCCGGGGGGCGGGGTGGGAGGTAGAGGGGGAAAAAAAGTAAAATCAAGTTTTTTTCTTCCTGTGACAAATGGTCATCTTATATATGCCTATTCTGGAGACCACTGGGTTAGGAAACGGAGGCTCAGATTAAGTAAGCTGCTGGCAGAAGTTCCAAAGAGAACCTTTTGTTATTCTGACCATCCTCGTGAGAATGGCTGTGGAGAGGATAAATAAACTCTTGTACTAATGCCCCTTAGGTTCTTCACAGCAAATAAATCTTGACGTAATTTAAATAAAAACCTACTGTACACTTTCTTCACGAAAAATGAGGTAATTCTGGGTTTACCTATTTTAGAAAGCCGGGCAAGAACTGGAACTTTAAAAAAAAATTTCCATCACCCCCAAAAGAAACCCCATTTAGGTTAGCAGTTATGCCCCATTTCTCCCCAAAACCTCTTAGCATAAACCACTAATCTACTTGCTGTCTCTACAGAGTTGGACATTTCAAATAAATGAGAGTCACACACTATATGGTATTTTGTGTTTAGGTTCTTTCACTTAGCATAATATTTCAAGGTCATAGCGTGTATTAGTACCGTGTTCCTTTTTACTGCCAAATAATCGTTTGTATAGCTACAGCACATTTTATTTACCCATTTATCAGTGGATGGACGATTGAGTTGTTTCCACACTTTTGGGTTATTATGAAATGAGTATTCATGTACAAGTTTTTACGTGGACATATATTTTCATTTCTCTTAGGTATACCTGGGATTAGAATTGGTGGGCCAAATGGCAACTATATATGTTTAACCTTTTTAGGAACTGTAAGATTTTTTTCCAAAGTGGCTACACCATGTAGGACTGGAGTAGTGCAGGAGCCAGTGCAGTGTTTACTGAAAGAATGTTGTTAAATAATTCATTCCACAAACCTTTTCTCAAATAACCAATATGAACTTTTTGGTTATTTATTTGTTTATGACTCAATACAAACCCACAGTATGTACTCTACTCGTTAGCACTATCATTTCCATATATAAAAAGAGCTTATTATTGGTTTATATACGGATGAAGAAAAAAGACTAAAAGTGATTGTAAAAGCCTAAGTTTGATTTATATTGTTTTTTAAACGTGTCAAAATCATGGACATAGTTGCACTTAATGCCAGTTATTTTTTTTATATTTCATTTACTTATATAACATTTCTAAAACTGATACCAACTGATCTTTCTTATGCATAAAAAGGGCCAATATCTACTTTGTGAAGTATTACTCACTGGAAGAATCTCAAACGTCTGTAGTGTTCCACTGTTTAGTGTTATTGTTTCTGAGTCAACAGTAGCAGCAGGAGAGTCTGTTGAAGCTGTGGTAAGAACAAGGACAATAAAAAATAAAATACTTTATAAATTTCCCTCGTGTACTCAATTATTATGAAAGCAATCTCATATTGAATAATTTGCCTAGAAACCTAAAGTCATTTAAATTTCTTATGAGATAAGAAATCTAATGGATTTGTCTGGGTTGGCACAGATCAGGGGTTAGCAAACTATGGCTCACAGCCAAATCCAGCCCACTACCAGTTTTTGTAAATAAAGTGTTATAGAAACACAGCCACGCTTGTTTGTTCATGTATTTTCTATGGTTGCTTTTGCACTATAAGAGCACAGGTGAGAAGCTGTGACAGAGACAATATTTGTTAACCTCTGGTACAGATCATAAAGTATTTCTAATATTAGGAAGTAAGAAGAATAAACTAAGGCTAACCTGCAGAGATAGAAGCTTGGTAAAAAATAACTTTTCCTGGACATTCTACAGTTTAGATATCTGGAATGGCAGTCCCAGAACACTAGGCTTCAATTCTAGTGACATCACTTCCTAGCAATGTAAAGCTGGGCAAATAACATACTTTAACCCAAACTAATGTTCAGAGACGTTATCTGTCCTGCCTATCCCATATAATTGTTGTGAGGATCAAAAACATGAGATAAATATAAGCTACAATTATTTCAGGAGACCACGACGGAAGACTGAACACCACTTCAGACATGAGATTGCAGAATCTTTACAGGGATGTCAGCTGAGGCTCAGACTTGATTAGTGTCTGCAAAGGTTATATGAAACTAAGACTAACTAGAAGAAATGTGATCTCTTTTGTTTTCGGTCACACCTGTAAGTAAATGAGTGTGAAAAATGATTCAGAATTGATTTTTAATGTGTAGTGTTTGTTAGTTTATTATATTCCGTCTATAACTTCTCAGTTTGAAAGAAATGTGACACCTTTAACTAAAGAAATGCACTTCATTCATGTTATTTCTCTTACTAGTTGATGGATTCTTAAGATCATACCTGGAATAATTTGAAGTGATTCCAGACAAATACCCTAAATCAAGGGTAAATAAACTATGGCTGGGGTCAAAATGTGGCTCAAGGATAAGAATGGTTTTTACAATTTTAAAATTGTTTAAAAACAAAACGGGAAATTCCACAGAGACCTATGTGGCCTGCAAAGCATCTAACATACTCATATTTACTGCTCTGGCACTCAAGTTTGCCAATCCCTGACCCCTAACCTAAAGAAAAAAACAATCATGAGATTTTAGCCTGAATGCCAAGAATAATGGGTGTGTTGTAAAACTCTTAACTATACTCACATTTCTTGCTGGAAAAAATAAAATTATTCTAAATACTTTTAAAAAGCCATACTGTGAATGAATATTAAGGTACTATTTATAAAGTGTTTGCTGTTTTCCCAGTAAGTGTCATCAACCCAATAGCCAGGGAAAGTTGTAACAGTCTCCGTGCACAGCTGACACATAGCCAATAGTAGTTCTCTTACGGTACTCTAGTAATTGTAGTTGCTCTGCACTTTTCAAGACTATAAAATAAAACAAGCAAGGCCAAAGAAAAGAAATTCTTCATGCTTTATTATACTGGTAGAAAGCCAAAGCAAATAACCAAACTTAAAATAGAACTTTTAAGAATAAGATAGGCATGACTGGTTTAAAATATCTCTAAAGAAACCTTGAGGGCTAGACTCATGGCCAAATGACTAAGTTCGTGTGCTCTGCTTCGGTGGCCCAGGGTGTCACCGGTTTGGATCCTGGGGCGGACTTAGCACTGCTCATCAGGCCATGCTGAGGCGGCATAGTAGAACCAGAGGGACATACAATAGAAGTATACAACTGTACTGGGGAGCTTTGAGAAGAAGAAAAAGAAGAAGATGAAAAAATAGATTGGCAACGGATGTTAGCTCAGGTGCCAATCTTTAAAAGAAAAAAAAAAAAAAGAAAGAGACCTTGACAGTCATTGCATATTACAGATATATAGTGTTAACAGCACCAGTAGGTGGCCCAGTGATTCTCAAACAGAAGATCATAGGGTACACTTCAGAACCTGTAGGGTGTTTTTATTTGTCCTAATGACTGAAAAGCACTACTGGCATTTTGTGCGTGAGGTCAAGGGACACTGAGCATCCTGCAGTGTGTAAGACAGCCCTGCCAACAAAGAATTGTCCCCCACAAAATGCCAATAATCCCCTGGTTGAGAATAATACACAGTGATTGCTATACTCTTGGCAATGACCTTTCCATAGGCAAATAGCATTATGTAGGGAAAAAAAGATGGAGGTAACAGTAAGTGAAGCATAATATGGTTCTGAGAATTTTATTCTTATTCCTTTTCTGTCACTCTGTAATGGAAAGAGAAGTAGAATGATCAACTTGGCTTACATCTTATGAAATAAATTTCCCCTCTCTGTAACAATTGCTGAGTCCTTGTATCTCATTTAGCACAAAAAAATGCCAGAGGCTAGGGAAAAGAGAGGGGTAAACACAACAGTTCCCATAGGGAACTGGCTCTTTACTCCCGTAAGAAAATCTTTTTCAACCTCACCAAACCCATTTCTTTCACATACCACTTCAAATCCATTCCCAATTTGTGTCTCTTCTGGCGAATTACTACAAAGGATGTGCCATCTTATGACCTCTACTTCCTTGCTCAAATGACTATATTTTACATAGTTTTCTATTAATCATTAATTCCTTATAACATCTAGAAAGTAAGACGATTTAAAACTTTTTAATGGCTGGGCAGTTATTGGTCCTTCTGTCACACATTCTATCCTTTGTGCAAATATTAAGCTAATTAACATAAAATGCCTTAGATCTCCTTTAATCTTTCAACTTGGATAAATTTCTATCAACATTCTAGAAGACCAAAAGGTGTCAGAGCCATTAACCAAATAATGTAGGTCAAATAGCAAGGAGTCTTGAGGTTCAAACACTTACAGACATGGGTGATCTGGACCGGAATCTGTAAGGCTGTCATGGGGCTTGAAGAGATGGCTGTATTGTCTTCCAAGCGGGCAACTCTGATCTGAACATGCTGTACGCTGGAATTGGAATTACTGTTTGGAAGTCCAGATCCTGATTTATTCTCCAAAAGCGTTGGGTTGTTTTTTTGATTCTCGTGTAACTGTTTAAGACCTTTTATTAAGACTGAAGGGAGATGGGTAGACAAAAAGAACATTGATTCTCTCCGACAGACCACCATCTAAGCAGCAAGGGAGGTGGAGGGGGAGGGTAGGGAGGGAAAGTATTTGGAATAAATAATTGTATACTGGATGTGCGATCTTACCAAAATAATAATCAAAATATTTTAAAACTACAATCTGTCCAGAAATTTTTGGGAACATTATCCATCACAACAGATTTAAAAATTCATAACATAGTACTATTCTTGCCATCTAAGAGACATTTAAAAAATAGCTATTGTGAGGAACATGGAAATAAGACATTTTCTATATCCTAGGGCTTCTTGATAAAATTCTCACTATTTAGGAAGAATATTAGTAATGCTAATGGCCGGCCCGATGGCCGAGTGGTTGAATTTGTGCACTCTGCTTTGGTGGCCCAGGGTTTGCCGGTTTGGATCCTGGGTGCAGACATGGCACCACTCATCAGGCCATGCTGAGGCGGTGTCCCACACAGCTCAACCAGAGGCACTCACAACTAGAATATACAACTATGTACTGGGGAGCTCTGAGGAGAAGAAAAAAAAAAAAAGATTGGCAAGAGTTGTTAGCGCAGGTGCCAATCTTAAAAAAAAAAAAAGAAAAGTAATGCTAAGTAGCCTATTTTCATTTTTAAATGAATAGTGTACTCCAACCCCCCTCTCCCCCCACCAAGACTTGAGCACTTGACTGTTTTAGCCACAGCAAGAACATAATCAGTGGGTGGGAGTCTAACTCACGACTCCAGAGTAGCAGCTGACCTTTTCTGAACAGTAATATGCAACCACTTTGAGTTCCTGTTCATGAAAGCCAACTCTAGACTTGCCCTCCTCCATTAGTCATGATAAACTACATCTGTCAGGTGATGCTGCAGTCTGGTTGGATTCATGCTACATTAGTATCCATTCATTTGTCTGGTTTTAATATCAGATTTATAAATCTATAATTGGGTGTTTAATTAAAAAAAAAATCACATTTTCATCAAGCCCAAGTTCCTCAGCATTTAATCTTCCTTTGGAAAAATGGGGGAATGAATTCGATTAGCTAAATTAAACAGACTGTCCAACTTAGTTTTAGTGCCTAAGCGCAAAGTAGGCAATGAAGTAAAAAGTGGGCTATGCCTCACTTTTAAGCAAACCCAACTTAAAATCTAGATTTACATAACAAATGAAATTAGAAATTTACAGAGCCTTTGTTCTAAAAAAAATCAACCCGAATTTATCTAAATAACAAATCTAGTTAAGATTTTGAGATTATTCAACTCATAAAAGTTGATTTAAACTTAAGTTTTCAGAAATAAATCATGGTACACAATGAAAATATATATGTAAAATTTATTTCCTCTTCATAGTTTATGTGAGAGAACAAGAATGTATGCAAATGTCTATGTTTTCATCTTAGGTGCTTTAAGAATTACAAATCACATAAACTTCTCAAGGGAAGAAAAGACAAGTATCCAAAGAAATAGGGCAGTTTAAGCGAATATCTACTGTGATTCATATTTCCTTAGCTGAGGCAAAGAAGTTCTAACCTCCAACTCAGAAGGAGTAAATATGATAAGACAAGGGAAGGACTTAAGAAGCAAATAATACATTACCAGGGAACGAAACATCCTTATGGTTTGCAATTTGCCTTTTGATGGTCCACCATTTACTTCGAAGCCACTGTGGTGAACGGACACTGCTCCATCCCTCCGCTAATAGATCCCAGTTTATGTCATTTTCATCAGCTACATCAAGCTCTGCTATCCTACAGGTTACAAATAAGCATGTGTTAGATGTTAATTTATTTCTCCATAAGAATGTTCCTCTGACTACACGTGATGGCACTGGCAATAAAGGGAATGGCAGGTTATGTCATTGAAAGGATTCCAGGAGTGCAGACCTGCATCCAGAGCTAAGAGCTATGAGATATCGCCAGCAATAGCCTTTCGTAAACGGTCAGAACCACATGAAGCACTGTGAAGGAAAGGGAGTAGCTACAGGTTAGTATAGGATAAGAACAGGTTTAGTTGTAAAGTATTCTGCAATGTTTTATAGTGTAATATACTAAGTTATTTCCTGGAGCTTTTCTGTTTTTAAAGTGAACAAAAATGTCTAGAAATAAGCTACTCATAAACATGACTAGTTGAAAAAAAAAAAACTAAAAACAAAACCCAAAACAAAACAAAAAGACAGAAACAATAATTCAGCAGCAACCAAAAAAGCACAACCAACACGATAGTACGACCAAATTTGGGGTTTTAATAGTCTATTCATTTTCTAGCTTTAACAGTCATGAGGATTTTGATTTTCAGTAGGGAACAGCAACAATGACAGCTTTTATTACTTCAGTGTCTCAAATGTTTTCTTGCCGGTATTTTTGCCCATTTGAGTCACTCAGACTTAATGGTTAAACCAACTAATTTAAAAAATAAGCTTGGGATTATTTTTTTAAGGCTATGTTTGGATATGGATGAAATGGAAGTGTCTGATTTGGTCCAGTTTGAAGGTGTGGGGTAACTGGACTAGACTCTCTTCTCGGCAATCTTAGCACAGTATTAAAAGATCGAAGGGCATGGAGACTGAACAGCTCTCTTACCCTCACCGTGGTCCTCCTAGGCTAGGACTGAGGCACACTGGTGGGACAGTGGAAAAGCTGCACTGCCGCTGCCTGTGCCGTACCTGTCTGTGGATATAGAAGGGACTCTAGTCTCCACACCTTCAATCTGGTACTTTGCATAAGTACTAAATCCACTAAAGAGGAGCAAACACAAAACAAAAAAGAGCTCAATATGAAATACTTAGGATCTTAAAGAGTGGCTCTATATGGAAAGGATGGTTTTCAGACATTAGGCATCTAGGGAAACCAAAAAAGGAAAATCAATCAAGACATCCACAGCCATTAAGCAGTTTTTGTCATTAAAAGATGTAGGACACAAACCTGAGGATGAGATTGATTTCATCTTCCTTGGTCCACTCAGTACCTCCACTCTGTTTCCAGTTCAGGTAGTTGAGCCATTTAGAACGACACTGCTTTTCTGAGCGGGTACCCACTCGTTCTGCCACAGCTGCCCAAGACACACCCTGTGTGACTATGTCACCTGGCTCAGTGCTGGTCAATTCATGAACCACCTCTGCAAGTCTCTTTTCTTCTTCTTCAGTCCATTTCCCTAAAAGAAGGAAATCATCCAGGCTACTACTGCCACCTTCTCCTTTTTTTGCAAATCAGATTCCCTTCGGTTCCAAGGACTGATAGGAAGTACGCAGTAGTACTAAAAGTATTTCTGAATGACCCTTAGGTGGGAAATTGCATATACCCATAAGACAGTTGCATTTTACTAGCCCATTAAAGTTCTTAGTACAAAAGAAAATACAGAATCCTAATAGAAGTACTGACTGACTCTTTAAGAAAGAAACACTACCCACAACATAACTAGAAAGCATTATGAACTCTCAAGTTATACTAAGTCCTAAGTGGGAAGAGCTTCACTGATGGCTTGATGGACACAGAAACTCAGGCTTTTTTCTTAGTCCCACGTAAGATTCCCTGCTCTGCAGAAGTGCAGTAAGCTCAACAGAGACCATTACTTACAGGAATAAATGATGAGGGAGAAGTGGAATAATACCTATGGCTTCCCCTCATTTTAGTAAAAATAAAACCTAGGTTTATACCATCTCCTTTCCCTACTATCCCAACTCCAAGCTACTGGGATGAAATGTAAGTCTGAAACTGGTACTCACGCATATTTTTTTTTTCCTGCTTTATCTTCCCCAAATCCCCCCAGTATATAGTTGTATATCTTAGTTGCAGGTCCTTCTAGTTGTGGCATGTGGGACGCTGCCTTAACATGGCCTGACGAGCGGTACCATGTCCGCGCCCAGGATCCGAACCGGTGAAACCCTGGGCCACGGCAGCGGAGTGCTCGAACTTAACCACTCCGCCACGGGGCTGGCCCCTCATGCATATTTTTATTCCAAGTTTTCCTGAACCCATAAACCCAATAATAACATCAAATGTTCCTCTTGGTCTTTTCTTGAGCTTGAGCAGAAAAACAGAAAGGAAAAAAAGAGAACTTTTTACTTCTTCCACTTCTGTTTCCATTTTATTACCAGTAGCTAAAAACTTGTAGAAAATTTCAAAAAAGCTATGTGCCTGCTTCAGGGATTCATTCATTCAACAATATTTACTGAATATCTATTATGTGCTAGGCACAGCTCCGGATACCATGTATTCAAGACAAAGTTCTGCTCTCCTATTTTAGCGTGAGAAGAAAGGAGGAAGAGCTCAAACTGTGCTGTCCCATGGTGTGGTACAAACGAGAGAATCCTGATCAGAAACAACGCAAGGAAAGGAAGCAGGCAGATCAACCCCTCAGGCTGGCAATCAGGGAATGGCACGGTGTTTTTCCAGATTATGCTAACAAAAGCGGTTCTGTACTCACAGCATCTTACGTGAACCTCTGGGGTCCTATCCTAAATCTAAACCTCCCATTCCTGCTTCCTTCATTAAGCTGTCATTCACCACAGCATGACAAGAGTTGGGAGAATTTATATTCTCACTGCCTTGGAGGTAATAGTGCTGGTGGAGCGGTTAAGCAGGAAACACTCCCGAGTCCACTTTAGCAGGGTACGGGGCTGAGGATAGAAAATACATTCTCTGGAAGCTCAAGCTTAACTGGAGAACTATTTTTTTATTGAAAGACTAAGGATAGATGGTGGATCCTTCAGAGAACATTAGAGCTAACAGGGAACTATGAGATCACCTATTCTAACCTCTTCATTCTACAGAGGAAACTGAGGCTCAGAAAGGTTAAGTAAGAATTAGTGGCAGAGCCTAAACACTGTTGGTCACAAAGGTTAGGTTTAACAGTATCATCAGTACATTTGTATACATTAAGAGTTAAATAGGCATTTGTGGTATGGCCTGGGGACTGAAACACCAGTCACAAGTTTTTTCTATGGAAAAATATACTTCGAGTTTGAAAATAAGCAAAATACATAGAAACCTTTGGAATACAGCTTCTTCCTAAATTGGGACCCGCCTGCAACTAAAGTTTTTCATAAAACTTTGATAAGCTATTGTTAATACAGCTAAACAGGTAGATGGGTTTAAATTAAAATTATTTCCTGTATATATGTCTTTAAAATACCTGTATATAAGCCTTAAAAGAAATACTTCCCCAAGTGGAGCAGTTTTGAATTGCTGCAAAATGGCAACAGGCTAGACCTAAAACCTTTGAAACTAAGGAACTGTTGTGTCCCTGTGAACAATGTTACCTTACACAAAAGCAAAAAATAAAGGACTAGTTGGATCTATTAAGTTTGAAGACAAAGGAAGACTAGAAAATAAAATTTGAACTAAAAGTGAATGACAAATTTCTTCCCAGAACAGCAGAGAAAGCAGTATCTGAAGGGGCAGGAAGCTCAATTGGTGACAAAACCACAAGCAGCACCACACACAATACCTGTGTTGCAAGTATCCTTCATCAGTCGGCACCGATCTTTGACGGAAGATGCACTTCTTCCTAGCGCCGCCCCTATTGTTGCCCAGTCATTGCCATGCTTTATCCGGAGCCTAAAACAAGAGTCTGCCAATCAGCATTTGGTTCAACTGTTTCCTCCCTTTTAATTTCATCATTTATTCTTCATTCTTCTTCTTCCCATTTGATTGGTTTGGAAGTTGTGGGCAGCAATACTTTGAGAGCCAAAGTTTGAAAGTGTGGCCTTTTTTTGGGGTCCACAGTTGTCTGTGGGTGAAAAAAAAAACAGGCAGCAATTGCCTTTTTCCTGGGTCAGAGAAGAAATAAGTAACTTGGATATGTGTTCAAAAAAGACCAAATTTCCCCTCAGGTTATTGATACAATCTCCCAGGCAATCCCCAGATTTTTCCCTTTTGAGTATTCCTAACAAGCTCCTCAGATATCTGAAAAAGTTTGACAAGTCCTTATCATCATAAACAGGATCAACTTTCAATTTTTCTCATGATCCATACAATCCATTAATCCATACTTAATTGCCCCAAGTCATGAAGCAAAATTATATTTCCTGTGAAATAGCCATTATAGGGTAGAGTCAGCCCAGACATTAAGTGAAACATTGCCAAGTCATCGTTCTAAACTAAGTCACATAGCACAACCCTGGTTTTGATCCTGGTATTTAAGTTTCCCAAATGTAGTCTTCAGGCCACCAAGGATGGCCATCGAGTCTCTTCTGTAGCCCCTATTAGTGGTCTAAGGATGCATTTCATTTGGTAACTGACAACAGGAGGAGACTAAATTTATGGGCATGGCTACTCTGCGCAGGTATGGATCTGATAAGTTCTATTTATGATCAATCATGCTTAGCAGCAGGAGTAATCTATACCAGTCTACCAAAAATCTCTTGACATTTTCAAACTACAACTTTCAAAAACATAAGACATTAAAAAACATTAAAACCCAACTACCAGAATTAATGAAAAAAAATTTTTTTAAACTTACTCCTTGAGCTTTTCAATTTCTTCAGGTGTATATCTAGAAATTTAAAGAAATTTAAAAAAAGATCAATTAAAACAAAGAATACTAAAAACTAACAAAAATCAGAATTTCACTCAGAGAGGCAAATGTTAAGTCACTTAGCATAATGACAACGTTTTTAAAGTAACTAATTTCAAAGTAGATGAATAAAAATTAAAATTAATGCTTCTATTTTCTTTTAAAAAACAAATATTTTTAGCTATAATTAAAGTGAGAACTGCACAATTTTCTCTAGGAAAATTGAACATTTAAAACATATTTACTTCTATGCTAACTCCTCCTTTATTTCAAAATTAGGTTCAGGCACTCTAATATCATAGCTATTCCGAAAGATTTATGAATGACATCGCAAACCAGAGCTAAAAAAAATCTATGATAAATTCTCATGAGGCACTGAAAAATTTAAAATTCTCTTCATTTCGTCTACCCATGCATGGACATCTCACACACTCTTGCTTCAATATAAAGACCTTATTGTTTAGTGGGCAAGTACTCAATACAGCCAATGAAATGTTTTCTTTTTTTTAAAAAAGCAGTATCTAGTAAGCCATACTATTACTACCTAAAATTCCCAAAGAGAAATTAAACATATGTCAATAATACTATATAATCAATGCATTGAAAATATGATGTGTTCCCATAAATGTCACCTATAACAGAAATCCATGCATTGTATCCAGAAATTTAGTTGTTTTCCACTATAGTTTTAATTTAAAAAAAAAAGAGTCACTGACCTAGAAAATGCTATATATAAAAATGAATATGAAAAATGTTATTTAAAGTTCATTTCACACTTCCTAAATCTTTAACCACTATTATACTTTTTATAATGTTAGTTTACTACAAAGCAGACTTTGATATATTAAGTCAGCTAGGTCTTTAACTTATATGATTTAGATTCTAATTTCTAAAAGGGGCCTTATTATAATAAGGTTTCACCATATTCACATCACGACCTGGAGGAAAAAATATTAACACGACAGTAATTCATAGCTGTCTCCAATTAAGGCTTTGATCATAACTATTTAAAAAAATGATAATTCCTTAAATATTTCCCCTGATTACATGAAAACATGCAGTATTACAAGTTTTCATACTTTCCCACATGGTTTCTGTCATCATACATGCGAAGCACTCTTCTATAAACTGCAAACAAAGGCCGGTTCAGACCCCATGCTATAGTCCTGTAGAAATCTTTTCTTTCGTCTTTTGACATCTCAAAGATGATTTCTGTGGCATCTTTTATTCCGCGTGCCTAAATGGGTTACATTTCTTTGATTTAGGGATTTCTGATAAAATGCATATGGATATACTACGCTTTTTAAAAGTTGTTTTTTTATGTTAAAGATCATCAATGGCATTTAGAAAAATAATGTATTGCTAATTCATTAATAAGTCAATTATAAACTTTAAAATACTTCTCTTTTAAATATTTAAATATTTCTATTTTAAATTTCTAAGAGACAATAAAGTGATACTTAAATGTGCCAAAAATAAATGGTATTAAATTCAATAGAATCAAGTTCTGTCAACCCCTCTTAAAATTATAAAAAATTGAAGCCTAAGGAAAGTAGAAGAAAATCATAAGAACAAAATTAATGGAATCAGGAATCAAAGAAAGCAGAGAAAAGATAAGCAGTGCTAAAAACTGGTTCTTTGAAAAGATCCATGAAGACTAATAAAATATGAAAAGATAAACTTATGGCAACACTAAAAAAAAAAAAGACAAAACAATATTAGAAATGAAAAATGGGGCCTAAGTAGAGATGTACAGAGATTAGACAGTTAAACATTATGAAAATTTTATGGCAATAAATTTGAAAACTTACATAAAACGAATAAATTCCTAGAAAAAGTCGACTTACCAAAACTGACTCAGGAAGAGATAGAAAATCTAATAAGCACAGACCATCAAGAAAATTTAATCAGTTATTAATAATTTTCCCACAATGAAAACACCAGGCCCAGATGACTTTACAGACAAATCCTACCAATCAAGAGAAACATAATTTTGATTTTAAACTATTCCAGAGTAAAGAAAAAAGGGGGAACATTTCCTCATTCATTTTATTAGGCTAGCATAACCTCAACAGCAAAACTAGATAAGAAAAATTTCAGAAAAGAATTTTCAGGCCAAGCTCATTCATTAACACAGATCCCCCAAATCCTTAAAATATTTTAGCACACCGAACCCAGCAAAGTATAAAAAGATTAATCAATGCAAAATGTGAGCTTATTCCAGGAATACAAGTCTGTGTTAATTTCAGAAAAATTATTACTGTAATTAATCACGAGTAGAATTATGGAAAAAAAGGTAAAATCTCAATAGGTGTGGAAACAGCATTCATAAAATTCAACATTCATATATGATAACACTCCTGGCAAGTTAGGATTTGCTGATAATCTGATAAAAGAAAAATATATAACAAGTATAAAGATCAGAAAAGAAGAATCATTTACAGATGTTATGTATGTAGAAACCCCAAAATTTATGAAATAATTATTTGATTCACAAGAGTATTTAGCAAGGCTGCTGGTTACAAAATCAATAATAAAGTCATTGGCATTTCTATACAAAGCTCAAAAATCTTTAAAAATTCTCATTTAAAATAGTATCAAAATTAAAAGCATTAGGACTAAATCTTAGGCAAGTTATGCAAGTCCTTTATGGAAGAAAACATAAAACTAATAAAAGACATTGAAGAGGAACTAAAATGGAGAGTTATACAATGTTCTTCAATAGGAAGATGGAATATTGTAAAGATCTTAATTCCCTTCAAATTGATGTACAGATTCAATGCAGTACCAATAAAAACTTCAAGAGTTTTCCATTCTTTGCAAACTGACTCTAAATTTGTAAGGCAAGAGGAAAGGGCCAAGAACAGCCAAGAGATTCCTGAATAGATTTTCCCCATCAGATATAGGGACTTCTGAAGACAGTGCTATACCGGTGTAGGTATCGCCAAACAGAATCTGGGAACAAATCAGAATTCCTAGAAACAAATCTGTGGAAGCCTGACTTAGGACAGAATGGACACTGTAGATTGGGAAAAGGCTGACATTCCATAATGCTGCTGGGACAAATGTCATGTCATCCATACAAAACAAAACTAAAAAAATCCCAACAACATTGAAACCCTATCTCACAACTATAGGAAAAAATCTGTGAAAGGCAAAACTATAAAACTTTCATAAGACAATATGTGAGAATATCTTTATGCCCTTAAGGCAGAGGAGGATTTCTTAAACAAGCATGCAAAACATAAAAGTAAAAAGATGATTAATTTTTATCTTGAAATTAAGAATCTTTGTTCATCAAATGACACCTAGAAAGAAGGAAAAGACAGGCCACTAAATTGGGACAAGGTATCTGTAATATAAATAACCAAAAAACCATTAGTCTCCAGCATAAATTAAGAACACCTAGAAAAATGAAAAAGAAAACCCCACAGAAAAATCGATAAAAAGACACACAAACAGGAATTTCAAAGAAAATATGTAATTAGAGAAATACAAATTAAAGCCATAATAAAATACCATTCACATCCACCAGATTTGTACAAATTAATAACAAAAAACTAAAAAGAACCCAAATGACCATTAACTGTGGAATGGGTAACTTAACAGTATATATATTTGCACAATGAAATACAGTTAAACCTATCAACAGAGGATGGATCTCAAAACATAATATTGAACAAAAGAAGCCAGTTACAGAATATCCAGAGAATGAATCTATTATATAAATTTCAGAAAAAGGTAAAATTACTCTGATATACATTTTATACATTCTTGAATGTATGAAACTTCACAGTAAAAAGTTTCTAAATTTTAGAATCTTTCCTAAAATTATACAGTTTCAATTCCACAAATAATTAAACCTAAATATTTACAGCTCCTACATGAAGGCACTGTGTTGCAGGATGACTATATAGAGATAAGAAGATTCTGCTTTTGTTTGCTTGTGGCTATTCCTTTCATTTATCCTTTTACCCAAAATATGGAACATGACATCTAATTAATTTGTTTAAAAATGGCTCCACAATGTTCTTAGAAGAGCACCACACAATAAAAACTATGTGAAACAAATTATCTTTTTCCAGGATCAGTATATCTTTTTGGACATTTCCTTTTTCTGCCAATCTTATCCCCATTCTCCCAATCATCCAAAATAAAAACTCTTAAGTCATTCCAACTCCTTATTTTCCTTCTTCTCCAACATCCAGGAATCAGGCTTCCTTATAGACTAGTTGCTTATCTGCCCTTGTCCTGCCAATTCCATTTCCACCACTGTAGTTTACTTACTACTACATCTCATCTTACTACTCTCATCTGGTCAACTGAAACAGTCATCTAAAATGTCTCAAATTTTAGTCAGGTTCCTGCCCTTTATTTACAAAGTTGGCAGGGTCCTTGGAGATCATTTATTCCAATCCCCTAGACAAGAAACCAGCTTCTTTATTCCCAAAGTTCAGTGTTCTTACCACTCATGATTGCTTTATCTGAACCTGCAGCATTTTTCGCAGTCTTAACTAAAGTGTGTATAATCAGTGGATGACTTTAATACACCTCTGCGTACATTCTCAATGACCACTATATTTCTGTTTCTCCTATAACAATTAGCTTGGTGGGAAGGATCTTTATTCAACAATAAAGAATTAAAGTTATTTATTCTTTATACTTTACAAGGCTTAGTTTGGGAAGAGTGCAGCTTAAAATTAAGCTTAAGAATGTGGACATTTTAAGCAGCAATGTATTTATAATAGTAAAAAATTATAAACAATCTAAGTATCAAACAAAGGGGGATGATTAAATAAATACTGTACACCTCTCATTCCCAAACAATGCTAATGGTCTACATTTCAAACATGCCCTATTTGAATATAACTTCATTATGAGGGTGGTAAGCAAGTCTCTGGAAAGATTTCCTTGAGAAAAGCACAGATCTACTCCACTGATCTCTCACTTAACTAAGTTATCCGTTTTTCTCATTTCCTACAGGACAGAGTTCTAATTCTTTGGCCTGGACTTCAAAGCCCAGTTTCCAGAGGCTAATTATTTTGATTCAAGTTAATGGGGTTAATTTAATGTGCTCTGGGTTTGATCTCTGATTCCTTGGTGCTCGGTAGTTACTCATGCTGTTCCCTACAGCCCTATTCTAGCCTAAGTTATACCCATTTTAAGACGCAGCTCAAATCCTTGCTCTTCCAATTATTTTCCATAACTATCTTAACCCTGAGAATAAACTGTTCCTACTCTGATCTCATGCACAATTCACAACATGGATCAATCACATGGTACAAAGCCTTGCATCATTCTTCACTGTTTTCAGAATTCCCAAACGGATTGCTGGCTTTTCAAAAGCAAACACTATGAGTTAAGGCAATTTATATCGCCAGTACCTCAAACATACTGTGTTCAACAGACAATGAAGAGGATGACTAAGATAACAGGATATAAGCCTGAATATGAAAATGAACTAAATTTTTTTTTTAAGGCAGGGACTAGTGTGATATCATAAATTCATTCAAAGAAGAAGATGCATATCTCAGGCTTTAGACAATATAAACTTAAACTCGTATTTATAAAAAGACAGAGCTTTAAGATTCTGAGAGGCTACCAAGATTCTGTCTAAACATCAGGATGTTAACTAAAACAATAAAACTACTTTAAACTGAGAATTCAAAATTTGTTTAAAAATATTCTAGTCACACACCTGAGGATTATTAAGCCAAATACTAGCCAGTCATCCATTACAAAAATTACTGAAAAGCTCCTAATAAGTATACACAATGCTGCTTTGAAAGTTTTGCGAAATTCTCAATGAAAAAATTAGTGAAACAAAAAAATATGCCGTAAGATACCTTCAGATAGCGTTCAATATTGTTCATCAAAATATCAATTTCTTCTTTGGACCACATCCCCTGCTTCCACTTATGTCCTTTAAAAGAAAATAAGTTATGTTGTTGAAAATGTTATTCCTTGACAGAAACAAAACACTAAAGATTTGCTTTGTGATTAAATAAATAATTTGTGGGAATAAAATGTAGCTAATTTAGTTTGTCATGCATCTGAAATCTGAAAGATCCCCAGGTAAAGTTGCTTTTGTAACCTCTGGTTTTTAAGGATACATTTCACCCTACTAAATAAAGAGAACGATAAGTAAAAGATTATAAAAATATTACTTCCTCTCAGTTACATCTCTTATCCTTTCGGCAGTATGGGACTACTAAAAAGACATAAAAATTATAAAAACCAAACCATGCCCAAAACTTTCTGAAAAACTTCTTCAATGAAAATAAATTTTATGGGCAAAAGAAAATGTACAAACGATTCTAGGACAAGGGACACATAATGCGTTGGATACCAAGTGAATAATATATTCTTAATGAGTATTTACTATACAGTAGTTGCAAACAATCAATTTACTTACTTTTGCTTCCTTTCCTTACTTCAGAGTGGCACATACACAACCCCCACTTTCTTGTAGCAGCCTCCTAGCAATCCTTATGAGCAAGGCAGCATTATAAACACAATGTTACTTTAAGCTTCTAAGCTGCTTATCAGACCAAAGTTAGATCTCTGAAAAGTCTTGACTTCCTACTCCCATAAGCAATAATCATAGTGTCTTTTAAATGCTACCAATGAGCATTTGTTTATAATCTGCTTCATATCAGAGAAATAAGGATGAATTATTGAAAAACAAATGTTGGTTTCATGGTCTCATTCAGAGTCCAATTTAATTCAATTAGAAAAGCTCAATTGCTGTAACTACTCAATCACAATTACAAAGGTCTACTCAGAATCCTGATGACTACAAGCTCTTTTGACCTCCATATTTGACACTACAATTCACAGTATATCTTACCTTTGTTAGTCAGAGAATCCTTATCTTCTTTAGTTGTAAACCATGCTTGGCTAACTGCTGAAACTTCCTCATTACCCAAGGGAGATATTTCATCTAGTTGCTCATTCTGTAGAATCTTGAAAATGTAAAAGTAAAAAAAAAGTAGCAGCTCGATTTAATACCCAACCTGATTCATCCTTCTTTGTAATGCTAAGTATTACAAAACTCTAATAATATGGAATTCATTTGTCTTAGATATACTAAAAATATATTCAATTTATAGAAAGACAAATATTTTCTTGCTGTTTTTATTTTGGCAGTATGTAAACAAAATTATCTGCATTAACAAAATACAACCTTCATTTAAGCTAGTAACTCTGTACTAGTGGCTTAAATTCTATAGAATATTGGCTAAGATTCCATTAAGTATTTAAATTAACATAGGATATCCAAAGTCATTTGTACATTTATATCTGTAAAATGAGCTCATATATACAATAAAATGGAAATACTAGGGTTGAGTGTTATGGTTGTTAATGTCCTCACAGGTAGTTTGCTGCCTAAATATACAGTTATGCGTAATGTAATCTCTTGCTAAATTTAAAGGACTAACACGACAAATCAAAGGACACTACTGCAAAATTATGGTGTGCTAATTGTTTACTGACAACTTTGTTTTAGCCAACTCTAGAGCTGATTCCTACCCTATTAATGCACCTTCTTTTCAAAGAACTATATGGTACTGTTTCTTTTTATGATTATTATTGCAGATAAAGCAATCTTTATTGAGAAACGTGTAGTTAAAAAATTACAGCTTTATTGAGATAGAATTCACACACCATAACATTCACCCTTTAGAGTACAAAATTCAGTGACTTTTCGTATATTTATGCAACTATCACCGGGTACATTTTCAATTACAGACATATCCAATCTAAGCAAATTCTACTGGAACAAAGCCACCTTTAAGAGACTTGGCCTTGGTAAAGAGAACTTAAGTGTGAGGAAGATTTGGCAACAGTGCTACTATACCAGGTATGAGCCTATCATAGGCAGACAAGGATAAGGGGATAGTCACATGCCTAGTAACCACTCAACCCAGTGCAGTCTCTGGACTGGATCAACTACTAAGCTATGCCACTGGCTAGAAGTAAGCCCTAACAAAGACTGGACTATTTCTTGAATAAGGAGAAACTGAATTTCTAATTTCAAGAGGAATTGAAACCAACCTCACTGGGAAAAAGAGAAGCTGTCAGTGAACAACTAAAGCACACTGAGAAGAAAAGCCATGCCTCTATTGCCACCTACTTTATTTTTATATCTGGTAGTAATAATATATTGTATTTATGAAAGTGTTTTTTAAATCCATAGGCGAAAAGCTAGAAATTACTGAACAAGTCTGAAATGTTTTATAACCCAATATTCATGTGTCATACATTTTAGATTTTTTTCCTTTATAGACCAAGAGGTCTTTTAATAAAGCTGAGAATTAACATAGACTAAACAGATGATGTCTAAGGCCTCTTGTATTCTGAAGATCGCAATTCTCTAAGATTTGACACAGGAGCTACTCGTCAAGGGTGATACAGAGAACTACCAAAAGACCTTAATACATACAATATCCACTTTTAAGTTGGTTAAAAGAATAAAATCACCATTTCCCAAAGTGAGTTTAAATATACAGTGAAGCCTACTCTATGAACCTTAGGAATAAACCTGTCACGCTGATTAATTGCTATCTTTGGGCAAACACTTACTACCTTATGCCACAAATTTTCCTGATGAAGAGTTACAATTATTACTTAAATCATATAACGTTAAACATGTAAACAGCCATCAAATGAAGCAAATAATTATTAAATTTTACCAATAATATTCAACAATGTGAATTACAAATGAACTAAATGAGTATAGCAGGAGACTTAGGTACCTTAAAGGGTATCTATCTATACTTAGTATGTAGATATTAATGAGTTTTACAGTATATTAACCCATTTTTCACTACTTTTTGCATAAACCTTTTTAAACTACTCAGGCTTTATTTAGGATGCTGTTGCTTTTCAAATGAAGCCTTTATGAGTTGGTTGTAGGGTTTCATGTCCATAATATATACAGGCTTAGAAATCCAAGAATAAATATTTCACCCACTGACTATCTCTTGCAACCACAAAGTACTGTATATTTTGGGAAAAACTTTAATTTCTAATTATTTTTCAAGCTAGTCAATTCACTGAAAAAGGACATAGTACATTAATTACTGAACTATATGAAACAGTTACACCTGGTTTGACACAAAAGGATACAGCAAAAAGCAGACTATTTCTGAACTTTTAACTATGCTTTCACTCACAAGCTAATATTAATCTTATTAAACAAATACTAGAAATTATTAAAGTTTTTCATTTACTAAAATGCTAACAACAAACCAAGAGGCTAATGTTCAATTATAGCTTGTTAACTCTTCGGAAATAAACCAAACAAAACAATTCTATAATTTGTCTAACTAACACTGCCACTGCTCAATCTTCTAATACCTAGGTTGTAAACCAAATCACACATACATATACACAGTTATTTTTACTGTGCTGAAAATGGAATGGAAGTGAGACTACATAGTCTTTGAATGTGAAATGAATTTGACGAGCCCCATTTTGAAGACAAGATGTGCTCTATTGCTTTAGAGGGCTTGGAAAAAATTCCCATCCAAATCACCCACTGAAATCCAAGGGCAGATTATGAGGGTTTCCAGCCTGTCTCAAAGCTGTTTGAAGCATGTCAGAGACTCACTTCTCTGGAAATCCTGTCATTCTGGAATCACTCTGAAGTTCCCTATTGCAAAAGACTCACAGTGCACCTACCTAGCATATCCTTAGTCCTTGATGTTACATATCAACTTGTAACTATGACAATTCTTAACTGAAAAAGGGTCACTGTGATGCTTCACAGAAGAAAAGTCATGGTACAATGTCTCTACTAATTACTTCCAAAATATTTTACTAAGTGAAGAGATAAAACAAAAGAACAATCTACTAAAAACAAAGGCACAACCAGCCAGAGAAAAATTTATATGTACCAAAGATTTTAGCTTTAGGCTATTTGAGAGAGCAAAGAATTCTGAATACTTTTGGCAGAAATAACTTAGAGGAGACAATTAAGCAAGTTCACATAAGAGAAGAACAGTAAGGCTGATTATTATCCAACCTCTTAACATATGGTAAAATGTATCTAGTCCTGCAGGCACCAAAAGGAACTACCAGGACTACAACTATTATAATTAAAATCTATTTGAAATGACTAGTTTCCATTTACATTAGAACAGAGAACACACGTAGCCTTTCTAAATGAGTCATTACAGATAACTGCTGGGTAAAATTTATCTTAAAAAGCTTTATATCCCAATCAATACCTTACAGAAGTAGTAAGATAAAATTTCAAGTTATTTAACAGCTCTAGTGAGATCATTCCATGTAGATAAAGAATGCACGCGCATCACCTGTTTCAAAAGATGTGAACCAGACTACAGGGAATGAATTTAAAATTCTATCTTTGCTTACAATTCTGAGACTCATATATGTGGGGACTGGAAACCCGAATGAAATAGTAAGTCTTACCCCAATTCTGTGGTTGCTACTTTGTCAGACACAATATATTCTCATCATTTTATTACCTAAGGTAAGTGTACAGGATAATCCTCTTGCAGCCAGTAAAAAGACTTACTATACCTGGATCTGTGTCACAGTTCCCTCAGCAATCTCGTCATCTGCCACCTCTGTGGTTGCGGTCATGGTCACCTCAAAGCTCTGATCATTTTCTGAAACTTCAAGAAAAAGAACAGTTCAACTCCAGAATAATAATGGCAGGTTCTAATTATTAAAACAATATCTATGGAAAAAATACATGACGTCATTCCTTGCCAATACATCTATATATCTATATCTATATTTGCTTAATAAATATTCATTGTGCACCTAATACATACTAGGTATTGCTCTGGGTGATAGGAAGACAGCAGTGAGCAAAAGGAATGAAAGTCGTCCCTTCATAGGGCTTATTTTCTACTGGAGAAGACACAAAATGAACATGATAATACGCTAGATGGTGAAAAGTACTAAGGAGAAAAATAAACCAGGAAAGGGAATTTGTTACAAGTGGGAGAGAGTGTTTGAAATTTTAGATAGGAAGCCAGGAAAAGTAACTAAGACTTGGAACAAAGTGATGAAGGGAGCTAGTCATGCAGGTATGTTGAGGAAGAGTACTTCATTCAGAAGGAAAGCAAAGTGCAAGGCTCTGAGATGGAGGCACACCTGCACTGTCCATAGGATAGTGTGGCCAGAGCAGACTGAACGAGAACAGTAAGATATTGGGTGGGGGCTTCTAAAGACTTTGGCTTTAACTCTTAGAAAGCAAGCCACTGAAAAAATTTTAGAGTAGAGGAGTGATATAATCTTTTATTTTAACAGGATCACTCTGGCTCCTATGGGGAAAATAGCCTGAAGGGCAATATGGAACGGCGTGAAATCAGTTAAGAAGCCAATTCAATAATCTGGATAAGAGAGGTGAGTGGCTTAGACTAGAGTAAAGGCAAGCAAGGGTGAGAAGTAGCTCAAATTGTGGATATATTTTGACGGTAGAGCCAATAGGATTTGCAGATAAACCGAACATGAAATAAACTGAAAGTCAAGTATGCTATTATAGTTTTTTTATCTGAGCTACTGGAAGAATGTACCCTGCCATTAATGAGATGGGGAAGACTGCAGAAGAAGCAAATTTGAGAATTTAGGGGCCAGCTCCATGGCCGAGTGGTTAGGTTCACAAGCTCTGCTGTGGTGGCCCAGGGTTTCACCGGTTCGAATCCTGGGCATGGACATGGCACCGCTCATCAGGCCACACTGAGGCAGCATCCTGCATGCCACGACTAGAAGGACCCACAACTAAAAATACACAACTATGTACTGGGGGCCTTTGGGAGAAAAAGGAAAAATTAAAAAAAAAAGGACTAGGAAGTTTCAGGAGTTCAGTTTTAACATATTAATTTGAGATATCTACTAAACATCTAGAGTTAAGAGAAGACTGGAGTGGAATAAATCTGGGAGTCATCACCAGGGACAGAATTTAAAACCATAAATTCTAGGGAGTGAGTGAAAAACAGAAAACAGAGGCAATCTAAGCATTGAGCACTGGGGCACTCCACATTCAGAGGTGAGGAGACGTAGACAAGTTGGCATAAGAGACTGAGAAGGAATGGACAGAAAGGTAGAAGAAAACTAGAGGAATATGTTCCCTGGAAGCCAAATGACAAAATCTTTCAGAGAGAAGGGAGTGATAAATACTGTCAAAAACCGTGGACAGATCAAGTAAGACAAAGACTGAAAAAAAATCACCCTTGGATTCACCAGCAAGGCCTCTGGAGAGACCTGGGAAGAAGAGTTTGGTGAGGTGAGAGAGGTAAAAGCCTGACTGGAGAGGTTTAGGGAAGACTGTTAGAAGAAGAAAGAGAAGCAGTATAGGAAGTTCTTTCAGGGTATTCTGCTCTAAAGGGAAGGAGAGAAATTGGATGGAGCCAAAAGCAGGCCGACAGGACTTTTATTTAAAGAAGAAATTACAGTATGTTTGTAATGCTGCGAGGAATGATTCAGTAGAGAATCAGAATGATGATTCAGAAGAGAAAGGAAAGAATTGCTGCAATAATGTCTCTGAGTAGGCAAAAGGGATGGGATCTAGTAAATCCCATGGGATTTACTAGAAGGGACGTCTTTGGGTAGGAGAAAAGATAGAATATATGGACATAGATACATGTGGGTGTGTATTTATGGTAGTGTAAACTTATAGAAATTATTTTCTGGCTACTTCAATTTTCTCAGTACAGTAGGAAGTAAGATTACCAGTTGAGGATAAAAAAGGTGGAGGAAGTGTTAGAGATTTCAGGATGTATGAAACAGTCATCTCGGAGCGAGAAAAAGACGACTAGAGAAGCATGGTGTGACTAGAAGGCAACATTAGGAGCCCACTTCAAGTTGATGATCGTGAACTGACAGTGAGACCAGTAAACTGGCTTGTGCTGTTTTTCTCTGATCCCCTTCAATTTGCTGTACTGGTGTAGACATAAATAGGCAGATAGATTTAACCTGGGTTGTGGTTTCACCAAGAACAATGAGGTGAGGGGAGGAAAAAAGGAGTTGAGGGTAAATGCAAGACACTGATTATCATGATTAACCATGAAACTGGGTAAGGAGGAAACAAAGCATACAAGTGGAGAAGGAACAATGAAAAAATGATAAGATCAACGGGTCCATTGGGGAAAAGGACTGCCGGAGTTAAAGAGTTTTAGAGCAAATCAGCTGAAAAGATAGGAAGTATTGGTAGGAAAACAAAGTCTGAAGTAGATCACAAATGGACTACAGTTAATAGGGAATAGCAACAGTGGCAATGAGAGTGATAAATGAGGCAGTGTGGAGAACAAAAGGAATAAGAGGCTAAGATATTGCAATAATAATTTAAATGAATAATCACCAAGATATATAACTACGAATAGGGAACAGAGTAAATGTGGTACATGACTGCAAAATCAAGTGGTCAGTAAGGAATCTAGACTGATTAACATCAGAGTTAAGAGGACTGTTAAGGCTCAGACAAATTTTACCAGTTTTATAAAGAAACTGGTAAACTTTGTAAAGAAAACCTGAATATTAAAATTAAAGTTACATCTTTAAAAACTAATATTCACCTCTACGAAGTCCAGCAAATAATGACTTGCCCATTCAAACAGTCCCAGATGATGGTGATGGATACAGGACTTCATGCATTTATGTGACTTTTTAAAATGCTTTTTAAAACTTTCCTAAGTTAACTTTATCAATATATGTTTTTTTTTTAATCCAGGGAACATGTAAATACTTCAAGCCTGCTTTTCATAAATTCAGTCTTATTATAAATATTAGGCTCCAGAATGCCCTCCATACACAATGATACTATGACCCAACATCAAGTAGCTTTCATGTGCTTTTATGTCAACACATCCAAATTATCTTAACCAGTTAAGTGAATGAGGGTGTGAGGGATTCAGGCTAACAACATAAAACACAACAAAATATTAAGTGTAGTTTGAAGCTATGATCATGATCAAGGCACTCTACTTTTAACCAAACGAACTAACCAGCTATAATTTATATCAAAATAATCACTCAAAAATTCTGGCTTAATAAAATACATAAGTCTTGTGGATGTACTGTACAGCATGGTGACTATAGTTAACAATACTGTACTGCAGATGGTTAAGAGTACATCTTAAAAGTTCTCATCACAAGAAAAAAAATTTAACTGTGTGTGGTGATGGAAGTTAACTAGATTTCTTGTGGTGATCATTTTGCAATACAGACATATACCAAATCATTATGTTGTACACCTGAAACTAATATTATGTTACATATCAATTATATCTGAATTAAAAAAAATCCAGCTTGAAAATGCCCACATAGGATTGCATCTATACAGATAGGCCAACCAAGTTTTAAAATTGAATCACAACATAACGATAGTGAAATTAGGAAAGAGTTTTAAAAATCATATGAATCATCATTAGGAGGAAAGATCATTTAATTAGAAATACGTTACGTTTGTATACGCCACAAATGGAAGCAATATTAGCAATACTAACATTAACAATGTCTTTCAATCAAGTCTCATAGTAAACTGATATAAAATTTTTTTTTTCAATTTAATAAGCAATTAACTCTAAATAAGAGTACGTATCTAACTTGGTGAAGACATGATTTTCCACGATAAAAATCTAGTCTTAGTTTTTTTCCACTGGATGAAGATGCGATTTTGGTTGATGGTGAGTGCAAAATAAAAGTTCTCCGATACAGCAAGACTCTCATTTGCGCAGAGTGCCACCAACAGCCTTGTGCCCCAACCACATTGCCATGGACTAAGACACCTAATCCACCTTTGTGTGGCCACCACAGTTCAATAAGATTCCATATTCTATTTATTTACTTATTTAATTTTTTTGAGGAAGATTAGCCCTGAGCTAACATCTGCTGCCAATCCTCCTCTTTTTGCTGAGGAAGACTAGCCCTGAGCTAACATCCGTGCCCATCTTCCACTACTTTATATGTGGGACGCTTACCACAGCATGGCTTGCCAGGTGGTGCCATGTCCTCACCTGGGATCCGAACTGGTGAACCCTGGGCCGCCGAAGCGGTACATGTGCACTTAAGCGCTGCACCATCAGGCTGGCCCAGATTCCATTTTCTTTGTTAAGAAAATCAGAAATATAATCTAACATTACAGTCAGTGTGTTGTAGTCTTGCCAACAGTATTCCACCTAAAATACTATACCGCTTTAGAATCCAGGCTACTCTAAATGATGTTGGAATATAAAGCATGTTAAGAGCTTTTTTTTTTTTTAGTGAGATAAACTAATCAGGCTTCTATGTAACATCCATTTAGCTATATACCATATGAAGACGGAGTAGAGCATCAGGGTTAAGAGTATGAACTACAAGAACCAGAATGCCTCGGTATAACCTTAGACAAGTTACACCTCTCTGTGCCCTAAGTTCCCTCATTTGTAAAATAGGGATGATGATAATACCTACTCTAGAGCATGCTTTCTCAATGATTCTTGGAGGGAAGGTTAAAAAAATCTTAGTCTTTTTATTAACAAAGCAAGGATATACATACAGTATATGTTAAAAAACCACACAGTATATCTGTGTTATTAAAATTTCATGGGGGAGAGCATTATAAGGAAAAATATGCCTAAAAAGGCTCCTTGGGGGGGTCAATAATAAAAAAAGGTTGAGAAGATTAAATTAGATAATATATATATAAACCATTTAGAGCTATACCAGGCACATAAATAAGTACTCATTAAGTGTTAGTTAAAAACAGGTTTTTTGACTAAATGAGGAGAAAAATAACGGATCTAAGTCTATCTTGAAATGCCAATTCACTCTCTCGCAGGCTGAAGTTTGATTTCGAAAGGGAACTCTATATGCTTAATACATAGTGACTTACGTGGAAGTGCAACAACTGATATGCAAGGAGTAGAATCATCAATACTCTGATCATCCTCAGAAGACAGACAAAGCCTTTTATGCGGAGGTTCAGTACTATCTTCTGAGTCTATTTCATCAGCTTCTAATGAAACAACACAAAACAAAACAAAAACAAACAAAAGAATCTCAAAATCTTCAAACTAATGAGGAAAAAACAAAATCGTCAACAAGTAACGACTGTGAAAGAATTTTCTTACTGATTTGTTCAGTTAGCTAAACCCAGCTGTGCAAGTAGGACTCAAAAGGACATTGCCTTCTCTCTTCCTTGTGCAGTACCTCACCTCCTATTCTGATGACAAGGAACTATGAACAAAGGTGATGCGTTTTAAACAACACACTTTTGTCCTGTCAACCACCTAGCTTTTCAATATTTCACATGTAAAGACAAGGACTGGTTATTTAATTCACTCACAAATATTTACTGAATGCCTACTATGTGCTAAGTGCTGGGAACAGGACAACAATAACAGACATTCTGCCAAGGAGCTCACTGTGTAGTGGAAGAGATGACTAAACCAACAATTTCAAAATAGTGTAATAAAAGCTATGGGTAGAATGAAGAGGCTGTTACAGGACCAGAGAAGAGAGCCATTTAATTTAGACTGCAGGTGAAGGAAGGTTTCCTAGAGAAGGTGTTTTGAATTTGAAAGAGAAACAGAAGCCAGGGGAAAATGACTACTACTGGCAGTAGGAGAAATATGTGCAGTGACACTGAGGTATGAACAGCTTAAGGTATGTTAGGAAAATAAAAATAGTTGTGAACTGCTGGAACACATACATATGAGATGTGGCAGGAAGTGAGGCTAGAAGGAAAGCTGAGATGCTAAGAGGCCATGTGCCAAATTAAAGAACCTGAATTATATTCTAAAAACCACAGTAAGCTTTAAAAAAACCTTTTTACACTACTGAGTATCACGACTGATATTACTGGCAGTTTGAAAGATGAATTAGAGGTGGGAGACTGGTTAAAAGGCTATTAGAGCTACCCAGGTGAGAAATGAGAATCTGAACTAAGAAAGGGGGACTTGAGACAGAGAAGGAATGGATTCAAGAAACATCACACTATCAATAAGTTTTCATGATGGAATGAATGTGGAAGATCAGAGAAAGATTCATTCCTATCCACATTTATGACTGGGACACCAAGTAATGAAACTGACTGAAAAAGGAAAAAAGAGAACTAGGTTTGGCAATTTTGTGAAATAATTCAGTTTGGGACATGTGAAATTTAAGGTGCCTATGAGAAACACAGAGAATTCAGAATAAAGACAGAAGTTTAAATCATTTTAATAGGTAGGTAGTAGTTAAAACCACAAGTTTGAATGAAATAACCCAGGGATTAAGTACTAAGTGAAAACAGAAGACAGAACCTAGGATGAGCAAAGATGAATTTGAAAGTAAAATAAATAATACAAACAAGGAATAGGTAGAGAAGAAACAACAAAATCACAAGCCTCAAGGCTGTTGATTCTTAATTCATTAGATGATCACATTAAGTCTTATTCAAATAATCATGCAAAATTCTCTAACATAGGTTCTACCACAAAAACGTTCATTTATTCACATTGGCAGGACTACTACTACATTTTCTAATGTACTACATATACTGCTGGCACCAAATGGTATCAAAGAGGAAGAGTATTATAGTTAATCCATCATCATCTTCGCAGGTTCAACATATTCTACGTATAAAATAACTGCGAGATTCATAAAGGTTGAAATTTATGGTAAATTTAAAAATACACAAAAGTATATACGTTAAAAAATAAAAGTATAAATTAATATCAATTCATTACACAAAGAGATAAGTTCCTTTTCTACTGTTCTAAACTGTCTGTCTGGATAATAGGGATCAAAGGTGACATGAAACCCACAAATCCAAAAAGATGCACAATTACTTGTCAGCAAGTTCTCCTACCATTCTGAGGGCAATGAAGAATGAGGTTCCCGTCTGTGTCCCGAGTCAAAGTCACAGAGTTCACAGTTTCTACTGTTACTGTGTCAGAATCCTCTTCAACTGTGCTCATACTCAAATCTGTACAAGAACAGATTTCAGATTAAGATTTAAAAATTATTTCCAAATATAAACATAAAGTAGCCCCCAACTTCTCCTACTTTCCTCCCCCAAAACCCCTACAATTTCTATCTGCCTACAGTGTGCTTTATGTAAAATTGCAATGGACAGGTCAGATTTCAAAAGTTTATACCCATTATTTAGAATCGGATGTAAAAATCTGCAAGAATCTGACTGCTATGACTAAAAACTACAGCACTTACTTTTTAAAAAGTTTTTACCACATCCAATGAAAGAGAACCTGTTCTAAGTTGTCTGTCATATCAGCGAAACTCTCACTACAATTTGTTTTTCATTGGCAGCTTTGTGATGTGTTCAATTTAGGATTTTTTAGCAGAAGATTCATCAAAACTTTTAAGAATTACTTCTCCAAAAATACTTTTTACAAGTATTGAGGCTCTACTATTACCTGAAAAATAGCTCTATTATTTTCTGAAAAACACCTTCTTCCTGTTTTTTCACAACATGAAACAAGTGCATATACCCATCATTTGCCAAATTGCTTTTCTAATAGATATGGAGCTAGGGCTTCTTTTGAAATAGAGAACTATTTTTGTTTAAAGTGCCTTTACCTGCTATTTTACACATATATTAGTCTCCTCTTGTTCAGACTGAATGAGCAGAGTCTTAGAATACAATATCTTATGTTGACAGGGAGAAATGTGTTGAATTATAATCACTGGCCTGGTTGAAGTCTTCAAGCTTACCTTATAAAGTTCAATGAAGTTCTTGCCTCAATACTCAATTTTGGTCTTGCCCATACTACTTTTTAGCAACTAAACAATACAGAAGACATAAGCCTTGATGTGTACTAAATTAATCACTCAGTAGTCTGCTCATATATTTACCATTTACACAAATGCATTTTCCTTTTGCAGAAAAACTTAAGATCTATTAAGATTTACATGGTGAAGATCCAGTGATTCATTAAAGTTTCACTATGCAAATTACTGTTCTAAAAGGACACAACTCACTTTACAATGGTAAAGATATCACTTCCAAATTAAAGATAAATGGAAAGCATGATCTAGTTACAGCTAAAATTTGTCAATCATGAGGTGAGGTCTTTGGAACAAAGGCAGGCTTACCTAGAAGACAGATGGATCAGCTACAGCCCTTCCCACAGAATCAAGTCGCCTTCCCTTAGCTACCAGCATCACTTTCATGTTATCCAGATTGTTTTTCTCCCATGTTCCTACCCCTGCAACACTCTGAAAAAAATTATAGCATTACACAATAAGGCTTAATAAAAACAAAAACTCGTGTGCTAGCAGTATGCTGATGTCACTCTAGCCTCAAGGTTCTGTGATGTCTCAATTAGAAGAGGAATGACAAAACCAGAATTCTTTAAGTATACCTTTTGGAAATAAGCATCTAAAAGCATTAGTCAATGAAGGGTAGAAATGACAAGATCCTCTACCTACTTAGCTTATATGCAGTTTCTCACCCCAAGATGTCCCTCATCAGGCAAACGTTCTTGGAAAAAATAGTTTGAACTATGTTAGTGGTTCTATGATCTGTAGACCTCGTACACATAACAGGATCCAGGGTGTACATCAACTAATGAAGTACCATAAATATTACCAGTAACTACCAGTAAACATATTTTTTCTTTATAATAATTAACATCTCTCTTTATATATATATTTCATCTTACAGCATTAAAAATTATATAATATCTGTGAACAACCCTGCCTGGGAACATGTTGAAAAAAAATCCTAAACAATCAGGCCAGAAAAGGTAAATTACAAGCAAGCTTTTGTGCAATGTGAAACTTACAAAAAACCTGAAATGGCTGATTTTTAAAGGTTTCTTTCAATAGGCTTCTCATCTTCATCCCAAAAGGTCAACCAAAACTTAAAACGTACAGTAGGATTTGAGGTTCAAGGGGATGTTTCAGCAAAAACTAAGGATTAAAATTCCCATTTTTGCAGTATTCTAATTAGAACTCCTCTCCAGGGTGGTTTTGAGAATTGCTATACATAAATAAGTTTGCAGTAAAAAAGGTACAGATCCTGCACCTCTAATCTTCTATTAGATTTCATGTTGTTCTCATTTCTGAATCCATTAAATTTTTAAAAAGCTGGTTTGTAAGTAATATCTACTGACTGCAGAAGAAAGAGAAATGAAACGTTTAAAAAAAAGTTAAAATCATTGATAAACTTACACAAATCAGGGTTCACTCTCTTTGGGGGGGTGTGTGTGTACATGTGTGAGACTACAGTGCATAAGCAATTTTTTTTTTTTTTTGAGGAAGATTAGCCCTGAGCTAACTACAGCCAATCCTCCTCTTTTTGCTGAGGAAGACTGGCCCTGAGTTAATGTCCATGCCCATCTTCCTCTACTTTATACGTGGGACGCCTACCATAGCATGGCTTTTGCCAAGAGGTGCCATGTCCGCACCTGGGATCCAAATCGGCGAACCCTGGGCTGCCGAGAAGCAGAATGTGTGAACTTAACTGCTGCGCCACTGGGCCGGCCCCCATAAGCAATTTTATATCCTGCTTTTCAGAGTTCATTTATATTGAAAAGTGTGAAGAAAACCAAGTTAGGTATTTATCTGAAGTTTTCTGTATCATTTAAAACTTACACTACATAAAAAACATGACATCATTTAACAACCCGTCACTGGATATTTATGCTGTTCCCAATTTTTCATTTCCTTAAAACATACTGAAACATTTATAGACTCTATTTCCTTAAACAATATTCGTGAAAATTACTAGATCAAATATGACAAAATGAACTGTTAAGTCACCCTGTACTTTTTCCAGAAAGGTTGTATAAATTTATATCCCAACCATTGAGGTGTAAACTCTACTCCTGGTAACCTTGCCAGTATTTTTATTTAAAAAGGAACCACAAAGTAAAAAACAGCCAACTGCTCATTTGATAAGTGCAAAATGGTACTGGTTTAGCATTTTAATGAATGTCATCTCAGGACTCAATCTAAAACGTTGGGAAAAAGAAAAAATAAAGGCGGATTTGAAAAGATATGGTAAGATACGGTAAGGTACAAGGAAAAAGGAGTCTGAAATAGCTAGATGAAAGAATTTCATTCTTGAAACCTGTATTGGTTAGAGGTGATCCCACGCAGTGCACTAGCTTTAAATCAGGAATCTGGTTCATGTTTTAAAGTTCGGTAACTCGTTACAGATTACTAAGTGGTTCTACACTGCTTTGCAAATCAACAAGCACATGTGTTCAATCAACAAACATACACCACAGACCTACTATGTGCCAGGCACTCTCTAGGCCCTAAGGATACAGTGGTCACTTTTTTTACCCTGAGAGATATGCTCTCCACTCACTCTCCTGGGGTTTCTCCCACACCCATAGTTAAAGCTACATGGCAGCATACTTATCAGTATTTAAGAAACTCACCTGGCTTTATTTTTACTTTTAATAGGTAACATATTTACATGGTTCAAAATTCAAAAGGTAAAGGTGGTTAGTATACAGTGAAGCCTACTTCCCACTCCAATTCCCCAGTCACCCAGTCTTCCTCCCTGGAGAAACAGTATCAATTTTTCATGCCTCCTTCCAGTTATTTTATGCACATATAAGTCAATATATCCCTTCCTGCCACATACAGTCTTTGTACAGAAATAGTATTATATGACAAACACTGAACTTTACCTTAATGGCTACTTTACATTGCCTCAACAGCACCATGAAGAGACACCACTGCAAATATGTGCCTGCAAACCAGCCAACTGATTAATAACAGCAAAGTCCCTAAGATATAGGACCTGATTTCACCTGTTGGAAGAAAAAAAAGCAGCCAGCACTGCAGAGGCTTTCAAGCAAGAGGGAGAGCGGCTGAATTTAAGGTTGGAGATAAAGACAGGGGCAGATCTCATGAGGCCTTACAAATCCTTGGAGGGTTTTAAGTTATGGGAATATAATTTACATTTTTAAAAGATTACTTAGACTGCACTATGGAGAACGGATAAGGCAGTAAGTTATGAAGACAAGCTGTTGTCCAAGAGATGACTGTCATTTGGAATGGGCGGCAGAACTAAAAGAAAGGAAGCTGGACAAGTGGATATACTTTGGAGGAATGTTGACAGATTTGCTGAATCAAGAGATGATGGAGATTAAGAGAAAGGCAGCTATCTTAAGAAAATTCCTACACTTTCGTCTTGAACAGCTGATTGAGTTGTGAGGAACTAAAATGTATATTAAATATTATTACTATTAATATCAATAATTAATAATAAGGCACGCAGGGGCCGGCCTGGTGGCACAGTGGTTAAGTTCGCATGTTCCACTTCTCAGCGGCCCACGGTTCACCGGTTTGGATCCCGGGTGCGGACATGGCACCGCTTGGCACGCCATGCTGTGGTAGGCATCCCACGTATAAAGAGTAGAGGAAGATGGTCACAGATGTTAGCTCAGGGCCAGCCTTCCTCAGCAAAAAAAGGAGAACTGGCAGTAGTTAGCTCAGGGCTAATCTTCCTTAAAAAAAAAAATAAATAAATAAGGCATGCAAATGAAGATGTCAAGTTGACAGCTGGAATTCAACAGGCAAGGATTAGACCTATAAAACTGAGTTAATAGCATGCAAATTGTGTTTAAGATCATCTAGAGAGGTTAGAGAAGACAGCCTAGATTCCAGTTTTGGAACACTCCGTACTGGTTGGAAGTCAAGCAATACATAGACAAGCAAAGGAGATTGAGAAGAACAGCTAATGATGGAGGAGGAAAACTAAGAGGTGTGAACTAACAGACACATGAGTGTTTTTTAAGTAGTCAAGAGTGTTCAATACTGCTGAGAGGACAAGCTGATGGAGAAGTGACTATCTGATGTGGCAACATGGAGAACACTGGTGACCTTAACGAAAGTAGTTTCAGGGGAGTAGAGGGGGCAGAAGCCCCACTGGAACAGAGAACTGGAAGTAAGGAAGACAATAAATACAAACAACAGGTCTTTTACGAGGTTTAGCTTTCAAGGCAGAGTGAGAGGATACCAGCTAGCCACAGCAGGGTCAGGACAGCTGCTATTCAGAAGAGCACATCTGTACAGTCATGCATCACTTGACAGGGGTATGTCCTGAGAAATGCATTGTTAGGTATTCTGTCTGTGCAAACACCATAGAGTGTACTTATACAAACACACATAGGCTCTATGGTTCTAATTTTATGGGACTACCATTGTATACATGGTCCATCCTTGGAATGAAATGTTACGTGGTACATGACTGTATTCTCATATGACTATTAGAGTGACTGAGAAAGCGGTGAATAAATCAACTTTTGATAGTAAGGTACAAAGTTTAGTATTTTACTGTCTTGTATTCTAATTCATTATACAAGAAACTGTGCTTAACTTTTGGATGCATTCCCCATTTGGTTTATCAGGGAAATATATCAGATCATCTCCAATTCTACTATCAAGTATTTGGTCCTCTTTGGGGCAAATAAATACACACCACTGGTCCATTTAGATCTTTCCTTGTTTCTCTGTGATATTTATACCATACGTACTGTTTTCACATTAACTAGAAATGAGAAGACAAGGGAGGAAAAAAATAAATTCTAATAGTGAACTTTAACTGGTAAAATGGCATTTTTGCATGTTCCCATCATTTGGTAAAGTTAACAATACCCTAATAAAATTAAGAAGCCTGAATGTGGTACAAAACACTCATAATGGAGTACTTATATTTAAATGGGAAATATATTTGTTTTCATTTATAGATCCCAATGAACAAGATGACCCTATTTAACGTAGAACAAAAACAACTCTTGGATCTGTTACTTAACACAGTTTTTAATTAAAGAAATGAGTCCTTTATCCTACTCCATTCCAATACTGATGTTAAATTTTTATGCAATGGATTATTTTAGACTGCCATTTCCATCAACTGAGTCTACATAATTGTTCTGATTGATAGGACAGTGAATGATGGGAAGAGACTACATGGTATGAAAACATTCAGTATTATAATATACTTTTATAAGGGGAAATCAAGCAAGCTACAGAACACATAGCACCAGAATTTTACTGGATTAAAGATTGAGAAACACTAGCTGAGAGGCAAAGTTTCTAGCATAACTCAACTAATACACAGTAAAGACAGATTTAGTTTTCATGTCTTTTTCCTGACCCCCATGAAATCAGAAAATCATTCATATTCCTCTGTAACTTTTGTAATCTTTCCAGTCTTTTATCCATGTATCAACACATCTTCTTGTGTTTACAACATTGAGATCATACTGTTACATCTTTTATAATACTTTTTTTTGCACTTTATTAGCATTTTCTAATATTGCTACTTATTTTTCTATGGCATTTTTACTGGGTAGATAGGGTCTAAATTTATCTAACCATTAACCTATTACTAAACATTTTTGTTTTTGAGATCTTGCCATTATAAAGACGATACCTATCACTGCATATAATTAGTGCCTTAGGAAATGCTTCTAAGTGCATTTGCTTAATAATGTACACTAAAGAATTTGAAAAAAAAATAATTTGAAAGATGCGTTTTAAGAGATTTTTAATTTGAAAGAAACTCTTTGCTAAATAGAAAGTAGAAGAGAATTTCTACATCCTGAACACAGGTATACAGAGGCATGTCAGAAAACAGACAAAGCCACAGAATAACATCTTGGACACTGATTTTATTCAAGATAGGAATAAGAACACTTCGCACTTGAGATTGAATGCTTTGGACTATGGTCCCAAGCCCCTGGGGATCTGCTCTTCCCTATACTCTGAAGAAGTTTGAGGAGTGCAGCTATAAATGAACATAAAGCATATTGAATTAAGGTACCTAATTAATGTTCCTTCCAGCTTGGTTTCAAGGTGGTAAAACATGAATATACTGCACCATAAAAGATCAATAAAGATGTTTATTATAATAGGCTTTAATTGCTTAAGATGTTGATTTCAACTATGAACTACTGAAAACAATGTCATTATTAGAGTCAAAGGAATTACTTGGTAGTATGTATCACTTCTAGGCGTAGCAGTTCATACCTGGTTTGGCAATAAATTCATATTGCTCATTAAAAAGCAAAAATATTATTTTTCACCAAGTGCATAATTTAAAAGCTTATAATGTATATTTGGCTATATTTTAAGATTTTATCTATTCAAAATTGAGCACTTAATGCAAGGTACCACCTGAAGCTCTTTAAAGGGAATACATCAAATTATCACTATAGTCCTCTGATTTACACTGAACTTGATTTTAAAGAGTACTTCCTCAACAGATACTAAAATACACATGAGCAGTAAATAAACCTAATGAGCCTGTCTTTTGCTACGTAACACCTGATGGTAAGTAAAGATTAGTTTTGACAACCTGGTCCTTGGATGAATGGTCTGACAACAGTATACATAACCAAAATGACAGCTTAAAAAGGGAAAATGTGTAAAAAACAAAACAAAAAACCAAAAAAACTCAAACAAATAAAAAAACCCAATCATTCATAAAGGGTTCTCCAGTGCGCTTTTCCCTAACTACTACTTTCTGGTATTCAGTCATGAAATGGGACATCTTTCCATAAACTTGAAAAAGCAGATATGATAAACACATTCCTTCTTTTATTTAAATTTATTGTTTACCTTTACGGAATGAAAGCAAAAAGAAAATGCAAATAGGTTTCTATTACAAGAATTCTCTTCACAAAAGGAAAGAGAAAACATGAAAAAAGGGGGAAAATCCTATGAAAGCAAACAAATGTCAATCATTTGATAACTGTATTTTAGATTTAACACACAGCGGTAGGTTCACCACTTTCTCAAGTCATTTCATATTTCAGAAAAAGCTTTGGAGCTGAAATTGCAAAGCTTTTAGAAGTGTATCAATTCCTAGGAAATCCTTTTTTATTTTTTTTGAGGAAGATTAGCCCTGAGGTAACATCTGCCGCCAATCCTCCTCTTTTTGCTGAGGAAGGCTGGCCCTGAACTAACATCCGTGCCCATCTTCCTCCACTTTATATGCGCCTGCCACAGCATGGCTTGCCAAGTGGTGGCCATGTCTGCACCTAGGATCCGAACCAGCGAACCCCTGGCTGCTGAAGTGGAACGTTTGAACTTAATGAACCTAACGCTGTGCCACTAGGCCGGCCTCAGGAAATCCTTTCATATGGGGAAAAAAGTGCTAAAAATGATGGCAGTCACAGAAAATTAACTATTAAAAAGAAAAATTCTGTTTTGAGAAGGCAAGTTAATGTCTCAGTGTTAAATAGCCAGCCTCTATATGTGATATTTAAAAAGCGGAACTCTTCCTAAACTTTATTGCTAAAGTTTTGATGTCTTTGCAACAGATACACGGTTAATGTAAACGATCTAGGACCTCAATAGTTTCAAAAACACTTCCCAACCTCCTCAATATTTTAACATCTATGTGCCAGGCTGTAAATCCCTAGGGACACTTGTTTTACATTATCTTTTTCATCCTTACAAGTGTTAACTTAAGCCAATGTACTTACTTAACGGAGCATGACAAGAACAACTCTTTAATAAAACTATGTTATTTTCAGGACACAAAAATCCACTACAACTTTAATAAAAATTAGGGTCTGTAGACGTTGGAGAGATAAATGAAGTGAGCAGAAAGATAAGCATTATGTGGAGACAGTAAGGACTAGTTTTACTGTTTTTATTTCAACACTAGTAACATCTAAGTAACCTTACAAATAATACATTTATCTCTCCCACTGCCTTGGGGTAAAATGAGATAACCTTTTCCCATCTTAAAAAAAAAGTCTGTAAAAAGAAGAGAACTTAAAAAAATAGAAAACAGACTAAAGAGGACACCTACTTTCTTCTAATTGTCTACCAGTAACCATTTTCTCAGTTAAGCTCTGCTTTCAAAGCTCAAATCCTAACTCCAAAACTCTTTTGTGACTTCCTCCCCTCAGAATACTTCTAAAACCTGAATACTAAGAGAAAAATGTTTATATAGCATATACTCACGTAACTGCTGAAAGGAGGGACTTAAAGTTCTAAATAAATATGCAATGCCCAGTACTTACTGATTCACTGCTGTTGAAGACAGGGCAACAGCATTTTGGCTCCACCATCTAGTCAACTGCAATCAAAGAGATTCACGCAGGATATGCAGGTTCTAGATCAGTCCCAAAAAGCATATTTTGGGGTGAGTCTAACAACTAAAATACTTAAAAAAAAAAAATTAGCTTCTTTGGTGGAACACATAAGCACTTAGCATATGGGAGTTAAAATAACGGGTTAAAATCATCACAAAACGTGAAATGTGGGG